AGATATCTACGGGTGAGGAAGTTCCTTTTCTTTGTTATAACGGGTTATCATGCTCCTTATCTGCGTGTTCATATGATTGAACCAACGACTGTAGTTATAATGTGCAAGTTAGTTCACAAATTAAATATTGTCAGTTGATGGTTGTACCTAGTTTCATGTGGGTAACGTGAGTGTCTGTGAATATAGTTCTGTTGTGAGTTGGCGTAGCTGATCATTGGGAAGGATAGTGACGTCCGGTCTATGTCACGTGGTGTCTAGTCGAAGGGACGCACTAGTCTGACCCAGGCAGGTGATGAGGTGAGCTGGTCGAAGGGATGATGTGGTCTTGCCGGAGCATGTTGGCTGGTGGTAGAGGCGCATACATCCGGTCCATGCACACCAATCGCTGAGGCCGTATCAGTGTGGTTTGGGAAAAGTTGTTTTGGAAGTAGGTACAACTGATAATGATGATAATGTTACATCGATGTTGAGTACAGTAACCAGACGATGTTGAGATAGCGCATGTTAGTCAGGATGAACGAGCAGCGTGCTATACACGTGGAATCTTTCTTCTGTTCCAGAACTACCACATAACTAGGATCGCTCGAGGACGAGCGAATGTCAGTCTGGCCGTGTCGGAGCGACGATTATTTCAATTGAAATTTGAAGGAGGTTTTATCACAATTCATCGGACGAGGGTACCATAAATTGTACTCTGGCGGAACGTCATACTGGCAGTTCTGCGTGCGCATTATGTTGGAGAGCGAGCGCTGTGACTGTCATAGGAGACGGATCGCCGACGTCCGTTATTTTTGTAATTTATTCGGTCTGATTATAAAATCCTACGCCCTGTGATGGACTGTGAAGACGATGATCAGGATGTTGATGTTTGTACCAACCCCCCGGTGCCTTCACATAGATTAGTTAATCATGCTCTGATCAACGTTTCAGAAACTCAAATTGATTTGACATGCATGTCAAATTAATCACAGTGTTAGTTGATCAATGAATTGACAAGCCTTTCAGAAACTGGGTGTTAATCTCACTTCTTTTGTCGTTGTAGTCAATTAACAACCAAGGTATTTATCATAATATTAAACTTGGCTCCCATTTGACATTAATGTTTTTGGTTGGTTACATAATTATCTATTGTGTTCTGCCCATAAGAAAAAGAGATATACGTGTTCCAACCAATGAGGTTTTATTTGTTAATTATTAAAAAAAAATATTGCCCCCGTAAAGCGATCACATCAGCATGATCAACATTGGCTGTCTCATTATGAGCAAATATTTAATAACATACCCAATAGACATCCCTAAGCATTCATTCCAACTGAAAGTTTGTCTTTATCCAAAAAGAAGAATATCCTCACACTTACAATATACGATATATACGTAACTACATATACTGTACGCCATAAACTAAGTACGCTAAATAAAACAAGAGATTTGTTTAGCTAAAGTTAAATCTGTTTATACGAACTGTATTGGGTAGCATTAAGTGGGGATTTGTGAGAAACGTACGAGTGGGTACCTACTCTTCTTGATAGAAAAACGCAAAATGAAAACCAATTCGACATCTGTTTTCATCTAAACCCCTAAAGTACCTTGCAAAGAACTTTAAAAATGTAGATAACACATGTGACGAATTATTCAACTCTTGATCATCATCCACAACAGCCTGATCATGATGATCTAAAGGATCATCATGAGGAATACCATACTTCACTGCCCAGTGTATGTCAAATGTGTAGTCGACTGTTACGATAGCCGTTGAAAGAATAAAAATAATGAGAAATGCAAAACTATTCTAATCTGTCAGACATCTGTTACCTACCTTACTTACATGGCAGCAATTCTAACTTAGCTTATCATAATCTGCCACCAAAAGCTGCGGGGTAAGGCACCGCGGCCTAGGTCTTATTTAGTAAGAGTCTGACACTCCCTCCTGCCCCAACCTGGGCGCGAGAAGTAATTTGATGATTTTCCCCTGACAAAAAATAATCTCGGCTTCATCTAGTTTTTTACATAAATTGACGTGTAAAAGTGCCGTTTTATGGCCTATTTGCAAAAATAAATTCATTGTTTCATTGTTTCATTGTTATACAATACTTCTCGGAGCTTCATTTTCTTCATGCAAGTTCCATATTTCCATAAGAAGATTATCTTCACTCAGCAGTATCATCGGCCTACAAAACAAATGCCCACTGCTGAGCACAGACCTCATCTCCCACGGTGAAGGTTTGAACATTAATCACCGCGTTTGCTTACCTTCACTTACCTCTGATAAAATGTGATAGAACGACACTCGGCAATTGGTTTACTTCTTAAATTGATTGAACGAAGTGGTCTTTATAACATTAAAATATAGCGTTATTAGGTTCAAAAACCTTTTTGAAGCTGTGTCCCCAAGCCCGGCCTGTTTATTGTCCCGTAGTTTGCTCATGATGGATCTATTCGGTACGTGGCCTGACACCTTCGCATTTATTTTTTAATAGTATTAACGCCATCCTATTTTTTTCTTACAAATCCCAATATAAGATTGATGTTTGGTACCAACATTGTCGATTTTGATTGATGAAATATCAATGAAGAAAACTATTTTCTTGATGGATTACCTACGTGTTTATAAATAAACTCAAAGGCTCTAAGGTATACTAACATTATATATACAGTTTCAAGGACGTTTAAAAAAAAGGAAACATTTTACATTTAACTCTCGCGCTAGTAAAAGTCTGAAACAATTAGATACTCACCTGAAGATATTTTACCATTAGGCAGAAACTTGTTCAGAGCTTTGCTGACTTTGCTGAAATCTCGAATCATACGCTCAGATCATACGTCAGATTGGACAAAAAGGAAATGACTACAATGAGGTGATAGTGGTATTTCTTGGTAGTAATTTTCTTTTATTGTTTACTTAAAACAAACAATTAGAATGATTTCATACAAATCTACAAAAGATTTGATTAGGTAACCGAAATGTTACAGATGCTTTTACATCACAACAAATGCACATAAATTTATCTTGATCTTTAACGTTTTGATCACTAACAACAATATTAAAAACGTAAACCATGAAATAATCAGACTGCAAATAATCGCATTAATGTATAAATAGACGGTTAGAGCCAGTAAACAGGTATTATAAAAATATCTTGCAAGTATAAGCCGGTAATGGTCGCGGAGGCTACGCTTTCGCGATTTTTAATAGTTCTTTCACGCGTGGCTAAGGAACTCGGCATACAGCTCGGCACGACATTAGACAGTACTGAACAAAGAAAATATTTCACGCAACACAGTAGGTACTGTTTGTATGTACAATGTTTTACTTTCATTTAATTAGGTAGGTACTAAGTATACTTAGAAACTAGGAAGGTTTAAAGGAATTTTAGAATAGATTAGACGGTGTTCTGGCGAAAATAATACTTATATCTTTACAAATTCATTTACTTGCACACATGTCGTAAATAGTTTCTGACCTCAAAATATTTTAAAGTATATTAGATATAAGTAAATTGCCTTCTATAACTCTAAAGTATTCCCACAGAAACATAATCAGAAATACTTTATTTATCCTTATAATACCTACCAGTAACAAAATAAAGTAAATCTCATTTAGTCAGCAGAAGCAAAGACAATAAAGTCGGTTAAAAATAGCAAAGAAAATAAAATGCAGTAGCTACACCCAGAGTCTGTATAAGGCGCTTCGTAGATAGCAAATACAGGGACGAAACTAGAACTATATTTTTAGGAAGCACAGCATAGAAAAGTAAGGAAGACATAATATACGCCATTTAAAAAATCTACGCACGTTATTACTAAATATTCCAATAAAACTTTAGTATAGTGTAAATAATAAGCACCTAATTACGTCTCACGTACTTTTTAAGTTTTGCTATGCATTTAACTACTTATACGGGCCCCCTTGTAACCTAAGTCAATCTAGTGCTTGATAGACCAAGCCCTGCATAACCACAGTTCGTCCCTGACCATACAGTGAGACAGAGATAGCCAGTGTCGTTCATTATGGATGCAAATTCCTTCCAGTACTTAATAGTCCACGGATGGACGAGACGCGGCGTGAGAAAATGGTCGGTCGTAACCAGTCATGCGAAAATGCGGCGGCGACTAGCTGAGTACTCACATGTCAGTGTCAACGCCTCGAAGCTACGGAGAAAATGTATGAATCCCTAATGCAAAATGCATGTTATTCTTCTGAATAGTTTTGATAACATATGACGGTAAGGACTTCTGAGATATATTTCATAAATGTATAGGTAAGGTACGAGCTAGATACACTTTCAAGTGTATTTCGTATTTAATATAGGTACCTAGAGACTACATCACCATCAACCTATAAGTCCACACTATTGAGCGAAGGCTTCGAAGAAGATATGAAAATTAATTGCATTTACCTCCACGTATACGTCTATATCTGGCGTTGGTTTGGTGATGTAAAATTTCTAATTTGAATTTAAGTACCATGCATACTTGCCAAGTTATCATTAGGTATACCAAAACTACATACATTTTATTTTCAGAATATAGCAGATACGAATCCTCGGACATCACGCATTGTTTAAAAGGAGACCATCTCGACAAGCATTCAATGAACAGGGCTTGGAAGTTTACAATAACAGTACCTACTTATAATTAAATAAATATTTGTAACAATGAACCTCTACTGCCTCCATAGTCGAATAACAGGCTATTGAAGAGAGGTCTCTTGGAATTAGTTCTTAAATCAACATTCACCACCATCGAAAATAATTTAAAGTATAACTAAACCAAAAATCGAAAATTATTAATTAATTAAAAAGCAGTGGTAGCTAGATGGGTTCGTATTTTCTGAACGAAATGGAATTTCAAGCTGTCAATGTCAGAAAATAACAAGTCCGATAATGATCGCGTTCCATGGCCAATAATTTTATATTAATAACACTTTGAAAGTAAGAGTAAAGGTGACAGGAGATCTGTACTTTATTTAGTAAAAAGAGATAGCAAATAAACATTGTCAACTGAGATCCGATATATCTGTCACTGTCAAATAATCATCGAGTCGAAGAAATGATTCAATTTGTATTTTGCAAATAAAAATATTAATTGCATTGTGTGATATGTTATCCTCTTTTTAAAAGACAATTTCAAATGTTAAACTAATTGTGAGGGTACCGAGGAATATACACCAGCACTCAAATTCAAATCATTGATATCTGTAAACAACGATGAATTGGTAGAAAAACAAACAGGAAAAAATAGCAATCAACTAAATTTGTTATCAACAGTGTTCTATAATAAATTGGAGTGTAATTAATATTACAAAATGTCGGCGTTACTAACTGCAGATTGGTTTTTATTGGACACCTATTACAGGTAAAATATTATTAGAAAAAATGTTTACCTCATGCTTACTGCTTTTTATGATCACTATACTAATGCATCAGGATAATGTACTCTATCATAAAAACATAGATCTGAGATTTATCTGCAAAGTGACAAGAGTCTTGGGCCCTTTCAATACTCAATTATTCAATTCTTCATTCTTCAAATTAATACTGCTAGGTGCAAAATACACACAATTTTTATATAAACTCTATTTTCATCCTTACTTAAGGCATAAATTAGAAAGTTTGTTTTTTTCCTCTTTACACTAAACCTCTATAATCAATGTGTTGGGAGTACAGATTAAGATATCTAGGTATAGTAAAAATTTACACCGGCACAAGTAAGAACTAGTTTCAGAGGTTTAGTGTAAAGAGGAAAAAAACAAACTTTCTAATTTATGCCTTAAGTAAGGATGAAAATAGAGTTTATATAAAAATTGTGTGTATTTTGCACCTAGCAGTATTAATTTGAAGAATGAAGAATTGAATAATTGAGTATTGAAAGTATAGACACTAAACCTCTATAATCAATGTGTTGGGAGTACAGATTAAGATATCTAGGTATAGTAAAAATTTACACCGGCACAAGTAAGAACTAGTTTCTTTCTATACCTTAAACCCAAGACAGTGGAATCTGTATTTAATACTGTGTAATAAGAAAACTGTATTGTCCACTAAATTTGTTTCTTTATTAACAAATTTCAGGAAGTTTGATCTTTACAACATGAACTGGTCCATGGATGATGGACTGGAAAACATGATAGTCAGTGGAGCTCAGTATGGAGGCCCTATGGCTGTGGTCAGGGACAGGAAACAGTTTGTTAGGATTACCGGAGCTGCTAAACCTGTAATCACTATCTATAATGGAGTTGGAAATGTTATATCTAAGATTTTGGTAAGTTCTCGAACCTTTTAACCATCTACTGTAGACTTGTATCCTGGCATACCAGGCTTATTAAACCAGTAACCAGTGCTATTCAAACTTTCCACATTATTAATGAATCCAATAATAAGCTAAAATAAAATAGAATAGAATTGTATTTTGATTTTAACTGATTTGATGGCAACTAGTCATTGAATGTTTGAGGGAGAAATGACACCCAATTTATTAAAAAAACCCAGTGCATCAAGTATCTAAACTGTAATAATTGGGTAGTTTCTTTATATAAGTTATTCTGACTTTTTAATAATATATATGAAATATTATCTAATAATATTATATAATCATACTTACATTGATTAAAATTATAGTTAGTAATAGGCTTTTTCTAAAATTTTGTATTATTTGTTAAAATGTTGATGTTGAAATGTAATAAAAAGTTTTATCATTGCAATAAAAGTTTAGAATTTTAATACCTGTTGGGTTGTAATACTGTAAGGTACCTGGATTATATCACTTAATGTCTATCCATAGTTATTGGAAACTATTAACATATTCATCAAAATGCTTCTTTTTTACACTATTGTATTATTTTATTGTTTTTTTTTCAGTGGAATAGTGGCGAGCTGGTACACATGGGCTGGTCTGACACAGAGCAGTTGTTGTGTGTACAACAAAGTGGCGATGTACTAGTTTACGACATGTTCGGGGCATATCAAAGGACTTTCAATATGGGACAGGAGGTCAGGGACACTAAGGTAAGACTGAGATGTTGATAATTTTTTGTCTTTATCTAGATAGATACAAGTCATATATATATATGTGTATGTATGATTATTTGGAACAGATGTCCTGAAGCATTAATGGGAAAGTTTGTGAACATGAGTGTATGTATGTATGCTTGTTACTTTTCTCGCAAAAACTACTAAAATAGATCTGAATAAAGTATAGAAATAGTTTAAAGTATGAAATAACAAACAAGCAACATTGTACTCTAGGACATCAAAGTTAATCTTCTATTATTAGCATAATTTGCTTACTCCTAATTAACATTTTCAACTCGTTATTTCCAGGTGTACAAAGCCCGTATATTCCCAAGTCCTCATGGGGTTGGTTTAGCTGTTATCACTACCACAAACCGCATGTTCTTGATCAGCAATGTCTCCGACCCTAAAGTTAGATCTGTACCTGATTTACCAAGTAAGTATTGTATTTTTAAATACTATACTTTATTGCATGCTATAATGTGTACATAAAAACAATTGGTAAAGCAGATTAAAGCTGCCTGTAAATTTTCATATTTTTTTCTTGTATTTATAACATAGTATGTTACTATTTTCAGGAGCAAATGAGGCCATATCAAGTTGGTGTGTGATTGGTTCTGGAATAATTGTATGTAGAGACAAGGAAATATACAAATGTCAACCAGGCGAAACTAGAGCTATTCTTATGGTAAAATATAAATATTATTATAACTTTTCTTCAATAAAAAATAATGATAGCTATACAGATACATTATTTCTAATTATTTTTTGTATTTTCTGCTAAAGTTACATTAATTGTACTTTTTGCTTTCGCACTTGATGTACGCTTTACAGTAGTCTAGAAATAAAATCTCATAATTGACTAAACATACGATGACGTCACAGCTAAGCTACAGTTCAATAATTTCGATTCAACAATCGTCAACGTCCATACCATGTTGAAAACACCGGTTCTCGTCCGATCACCGAAGTTAACCAACATCGGGCGCAGTCAGTACTTGGATGGGTGACCGCCTGGGAACACTGCGTGACGTTGGCCTTTTGCTTTTTGAACGTTTTTTACATATAATTATTTTAGCATTATCATTTTGACGTGTTATATTTTTTTAGCGTCCTGATATAAAGAATCCGTATACACAAATTCTATCTATAGTCCCGTCGCAAAACGGCAAGCATGTAGCTTTGTTCACTGATTCTGGTATCCTATGGACTGGATCATCTGATTTCAAGACCACGTATTCGGAAATAGATACCGGGTATATCAAACAGCCGAAGGAATTGATGTGGTAAGTAAGATTTACTTTTATATTAGTTTTTATACCTGTAAGTTGATTATTTGTCGTATAGACGTAAGCTGGACTTCGAAGTATTTTTTATATGATATACGGCATATGAGCATACGTATGACCTGATGGTAAGCCGCCGCCCATGGACACCCGCAACACCAGAAAGCTACGAGTGCGTTGCCGGCCTTTGGGGATAAGAGATTTAGGGATTTGGGGAGGGGAACGGTAACCTCATCCACTTAAAGAGGTGGGGAAAAAATTGGAAAATTGCGAGTAAAATTATAAGAATCGGAAATTTTCTTTCCCATACAAACTGCTTTGTAACTGACAAAGTATTTGAAAATGAATAAAACTGTAACCTAAATTGTAATTACAGCTAGTAAAAATACTAATTAAATAGTTACTAATTAAGTAAAACAATAAATATTAAGGTAAGATCAGTCATAAACGCGTATATGTTTTTTTAAAAAGAGTATCGACGCAGTTCCTTCTTTGTTTTTCTCCTTTCTTAATTCTGCTTTCATATTTAGCTTTAATGACGAACAGAATAACAGACTATTATACCATTTTAACATTTCGAAAGAACCTATTTATGGTTTAGTTGGAGCTAATTATTTTTAAAAAATTCATTGCAAATATTCCAGGTGTGGATCCCAAGCTGTTGTAGGACATTGGGACGACACTCTATCTATATTTGGCTCCACAAAGGGCCAATCATCACAATACCCCTACGATGGTCCTTTTCACCTCATACAAGAAATCGAGTGTGTACGAGTCGTATCCGAAATGACTCACGAGCTCATACAAAAAGTGCCATTCGTCGTCGAAAGGATATTTAGAATAAATAGCGTCGCACCCGAATCTTATTTGCTAGAAGCTTCTCGACAATTCCAGGTGAGATTTCGAAATGTAATAAAAACTTACCTTTTTAAATACTCGAAGGTTTTGTAGCGACATCTAGCGCACTACATAAACAACAGCACCAATCACGAGCAAGAGTCTACATCGCGCTATAAGAGTTATCAACACAATTAGCACCCATACAGATATCCCGACAACAACCTTTGGGCAGTAGCCCACCAGGCACGAACACCTCGCCTGGTCGGAGGATCCTCCCTTTTCAATGGAGGATGAGGAACTTACCACCCTGTTCCTCATACCTCCAAAGTTTTATTATCTTTTTATTTAATCTGAATGATAATATTTTATTTACTTGCGGTAACCAAGACATTGAACAAAACCGTTGGTATTCTGCTAGTTTTTTGGTTGTATCTACTGCAGACAAGAGTTACATTTGTATCAGGAGGTTGAATAACAACAATTTAATATATAAAATAATAAGATAAGCTTTTGCAATTGTTATTTTTTATGTCATCGGTTAGCGAACGAGAACATAGATTACCTGATGGAAAGCGATCGGCGCCGCACATGGACACCCGTAACTAGAGTAGTCACGATTGCGTTGCCACGGCAAAACAAAACGCTGTAGTTGTTTCACGCCGGTATTTCAATATCAACGGTTTTTAACTGTAATTTATATTTTTTTTATGGTATAAGTCGGCAAACGAGCAGAAGGATTACCTGATGGTAAGCAATCGGCGCCGCCCATGGACACCCGCAACACCAAAGGAGTTACGAGTGCGTTGCCGGCCTTTTGCGGATGGGGGTTGCGGATATAAGGATTGGGAAGGGATAGGGGAAGGGGAGGGATTGGGCCTCCGATAACCTCACTCACACGGCGAAACACAACGCTGTGAGTTTTTTTCACGCCGGTATTCTGTGAGGCCGTGGTATTACTTTTAAATTTTCCATTAATTTCTTTAAATTACAGAACCACAGTCACAGAGCAGACGAGTACATAAGACTAGTGAAACCAAATCTCTCAACGGCAGTTCAGAACTGTATAGAGGCAGCTGCCTTTGAGTTCAACCCTGAGGTCCAGAAGATGTTAATAAGGGCTGCTCAGTTCGGCAAGTGCTTCATCATGGACCCTGAGTTAACTGACCTTTATGTGAAGACCTGCAGATGGTTGAGAGTCTTGAACGCTGTCCGGGATCCTAAAGTTGGCATACCACTTACTTCTGTGCAGTATCCTTTTTGAAATGCTTTCAAAATAGGTTACCTATGTGTATTTTTGGAAAAGAAAACTTTTTTCAAACTTTATCAGGTTATTAAACTACTAGGATGTGGTGGATAACTAAAAAGATACCCATCTACTAAGAGATTCTTTGCCTTATGATGACTATTTAGAAAACATTCATTGTTCTGTTTGTGTAAATTTAAAAAAATATAACAGAATTCATTAGCGATCTAAGTGTTCACAAAAAAACTAACTTTAACTATCTTCTGTCGCGCGGTTTCACCCGCTCCTTGGCTCCTACAGATCGTAGCGTGATGTTTTATAGCCTAAAGCCTTCCCCATAAAAGGTCTATTAAACACAAAAGGACTTTTTCAATTCGAACCAATAGTTCCTGAGATAAACGCGTTCAAACAAACTTTTCAGCTTTTTAATATTAATAATATGTATATGTATAGTATAGATTTTAATTTAAAGTTTACTCTCGTAACTTTACTGTCTGTCGTGAAGATGGGTGTTCCGCAGGGTTCTATTATCGGCCTGTTTTCTTATCTGTATAAATGACTGGCGTTACCTTGTAAGGGATAAACATGAGATAGTGATGTTTGCTGATGATACTTCACCATTATTCAAACTCAGACGACGACAATCAGTAATGGATTATGTAAACAGTGCTTTTTAAGAATTTTTTTTTTTTTTTGGTGTTAATAACTTATTACTAAACGAAACCAAAACTAAATGTATTTAATTTTAAAAAAATATTAAATAGGTAAAAACCCTGCTGTGGTTCTTTCCTCAAATAAAGGAAGAAGTTGTAGAATGAACTTGCACGGTTCTCACACATTATATTATTTTTTACATTGTCTGGACTTGAAAAGAGACCTCTAAGTTTTTGTTATTGCTTCTCAGATTAATCAGATAGTAAATTGCCGGCTTCATCTAGTTTTTGATTTATAATTTTGATGTAAAACGTGCCGTTTATGCCCTATTTGCAAAAGTAAATTCATTATTCCATGGTTTGTTTCATAACTGTTTGACAAGATCACACGACTCGTTTCAAGTTACGCTAGGGGCCAATAGAAAATAACGAGCATCATTTCCACAACAACACGGCGTGCATTAGCCTCGACGTGAATAAGCCGTATACCTAAATTATTGTGTTTCACGTGAATTATAATGCAAGAAATATAAAACGTATTTAAGTACTCTAATACCCTTAACAAAGCTTCTAGAATGACAAATCTAGGCGAGCGAGTTCTCCTGGAGCGTTTAATACGGCGTCGCTTACATTGCCTGGCGGTGCACATCGCGTCCTACCTACAACTCAAGGATGGAAGGACTAGGGTGCTGTCCGACTGGGCCTGCTATAAGGTACAATTTCAAGTAACATCTTTTTTTTAGAAAAGTTAGCAATTCTAGGTTTTTTTATGTTATAGGTCGACAAGCGAGCCGTCGAATTTCCTGATGGTAAGCAATCAGTGCCGCTCATAGACACTCGTAATACCAAAACAGTTAGTACAAGTAAGAATAGAGGATTTGAGCATTGGGAATGGGGGGAAGGATTTAGTTGGTACTCCTTAACCTGACACCCTAGGCAGGCAGGCAGGCTTATCTAGTATGCCTTAGATATAATACGACCCTCATCATCATCAGCCTGTTGTCGTTCACTGCTGGACATAGGCCTCACCAATTGCACACAACTGAGCTCGATGTTCAGCTCTTCTCATCCAACCACTGCCAGCGGATGTCGTCAGTCCACCTAGCTGGAAGGCGCCCTACACTACGTTTGCCTAGACGTGGTCTCCACTCTAGAACACGTTTACCCCAGCGGTCATCGGTTCTTCGACAGATGTCCTACCAACTGCCACTTCAGTTTGCTAATCCTTTGGGCTATGTCGATAACTTTAGTTCTCTGTCGGATCACCTCGTTTCGAATACGACCCTGCTTATAATAAATGACTTTCTCACTTATAGGTCACTCAACCGCACTTGGACAATGAGAGCGCGGCGCGTGAGATTGGCGATAAACTGCGCAACGTGCCCGGTATATCTTACACTACCATCGCTATGAAAGCCGCTGAAAAGGGAAGGAAAGCCCTTGCTATCAAAGTGAGTATTCCATGATGTTGAGTGGTACAAGACAGAATATAATTTTTTAGACATTTCAACAACGATACCTACATTTTTGAATAGGATTATCTGAACAGTTGTCAACTGTATTCTGTCATCTGATTCACATATTTTTCGAGATATGCACTTTCAAAATAGGAACTTAATAATTTTGAAATTGTCGCTGTAGTGTTCGGAAAACTTTAAATTGAAATATTCCACATTTAAATCCGACTAATCGGTAATCGATCAGACGACTCGAATCGACTCATTCGACAATGTTTCCCAAAGTTAATATTTGCTACATTTTTCCAGATATTAGAATATGAAACACACAGCAAACTCCAAGTACCTCTGCTCCTGACGTTGGGTGAAGGACCGACCGCGTTACTGAAAGCCACAGCGAGCGGTGATACGGATCTGATATACATCGTACTACTGCATCTTAAAGAAAAAATGGGCAAACGAGAATTCGAAGTAAGTACGGTTTTTTTATTTATGTACTGCTAGATAATATAGGGTGGTTTCACCCGCTCCTACAACTCGTAGCGTGATGTTTTATAGCTTTATAGCCTTTCTCGATAAATGGACTAACGAACACAAAAAGAATTGTTCAATTCGAACCAGTAGTTCCAGACATTAGTGCGTTCAAACAAACAAACAAACAAACTCTTCAGCTTTATAATATTAGTATAGGTTATTATTTTGATCATAAATTAGTCGAATAAAAACAAAAAAAATGTTGCCATATTGATTTGTGCAGTTTAAGCACTTTTTCCTTCAACCTGAATACAATACAAGCGAAATAAAGCAGCAAAAATATTATACTAATAATCTATAGTCTCCCGATAGCTTTTTGTCCCTATACCCTAAATAATTTAGGGTATAGGGACAGAGAAAGCAAATTTGGTTTATACTATGTAGTGAATTACACTCTCTATTGCCTCAACACCTTAATCCGGTGGGACGGCCGGCTGACACGACTGATATGCCAGCCGAAAGACCACCTCCACACCACCACCTGCTTTACCTATTTTCCGCTGTACGGGTGACGGCAGTAAAACATTACTGAATTTCCTAACCCTGAGCTAATCATTATCAATGTCCCCAGCACAATATAGTATACGTACCGTAAGTTTGGGTTACTTTGACTCTTTTGTTGTGACGGGAAAATAGTCCAATGACTTCTCCCGCCCAGGGTCGGGTGGGAGGGAGTGTCAGACTCTTACGGACTAAAAAGCCCCCCGTTCCTTCTGCCCTGGGTCGAGGCTGCGGTGCTTTATTGCGCTTGCCCCGCAACCCAGGCTGAACATCAGCCCTGTAGGGCCCCGTCTGTAGTGACCTATTGGCTCTTTGAGGCGTGTACAGAACGCTACGCGTCGTACGCTCGGGCACTTTGCCCCTGGGGGATAATTTTGATTCAAAGCTTAACCAAAAATAACCTAGAACCAAACGTATATTAGTTTTCATTAATTAGGAAGTTTGGATCAGAGTTACCCCCAGAGTCAAAGTAAGCTGGGCTTACCGGTACTTTATTTGAATATAGCACGTAATTTCTCAGTTTATCGGGGACTCACATGAAGGTGATGACACATTTCACATTATCCATACATATATATAACATAATTATTCCATCTCCACAGCTAACAATACGCAGTTTCTCCCTCGCTCATGCGCTTTACATAAAGTACTGCGCGAATAACAATAGGGAAGCATTGCGACAAGTTTATGTACAAGAGGATGACTTCCAAGGTCAAGCCGCGACGCACATCCGAGATGCCATCGAGCAAACCAACCCTGGGAGCATTGAGGCATCTCTTATATCTGCTAGAGAGTGCTATAAGAAGGGCAAGAATGATCTAGGTGAGGTTCTTTGTATATTCAGTTTTGTGGCATTAGTGTTTAAGGCTTATTTTCGTTTGTAAATTATCTTTAATTATAGTTACTACTGTCAAAGACAAAAATGTCTGCATTGGGTGTCTAAACACTAAACACTGTTATCACTTTGTAAACGACCGCCTTTGCACCATTTTTTTTGCTTTATGTGTTTCAAATAATGGTACAATAAATGAATGATTATTTTTTATTACCCAGGGGTCTCAATCTGTGAAGACGGTCGCAAGCTATGCAAGCAACAGTCGAGCCTACAGGAGACATACGGAACCAGCTTTGTAGGCCTCTCCTTACACGACTCTGTCAGAACCCTTCTTGAACTAGGAGAGATCAAACTCGCTGACAAACTGAGATCGGAATACAGAATGCCCGATAGAAGGTCAGTTTGGAAATAGGGTTTATTTTGGTAGTAACTTGTACTAGTATCGTATACCCCACGTATTGCCCTCCTTAGAGCCTATTTGAGCTTTGAAAAATAAGTAAAAGTTGCTTAAAATGGATTGTCCTTTTTAGCTATGTCGAACTAGGTAGTTAGTTCGACAAACCTACAATTACCATTTTTTTTTTTGTACAATACACACTTCTATAAAACTTATAACTTTTCGAAAACAAAATAGTTTTGACTTGTTGGCAACATTCATCAACATTCTTACCTACATAACATCTTCTTTTACCTACTCTAAACATTCACAGATACTGGTGGTTACGCATCCTAACACTAGCTGACAAGGATGACTGGGCGGAATTGGAAAGGTTCTCGAAGTCTAAAAAGTCTCCGGTTGGATATGAGCCGTTCGTCGACGCTTGCCTGAAGTACTGCAAACAAGATGAAGCTCTCAAATACTTACCACGATGCAGCGACGACATCAAAGTCAAGTATTATGTCAAAGCTGGGTAAGTTACACGAAATACGTAGTAGGTAATACGTTTTTTCCCTATATTGGTATCTCTCGGACTTCTTGACGGCCGTTTAAAAACTATCTGCTTCACTGACTTCCTAGGATCTTCTTATTTGTCCAAAGTAGTCCAGACAACATAGGTTTTCGCCTCGAAATAAGATATAGGTAATATTAGAAGTAGATAGCTGAGATGGAGCCTTTGGGGACTTAGGGAGGGTGTCCAGTCAGAGTTACAGGTGCAATACTCATAACGTACTAGGACCTGGCTTAAAGCAAAAACAGGAATGAGCAGTCAGTAGGAATCTGACAGTACCTCTCGCCCCACCCAAAGCGCAATAAGTCAGTTAAGAAATTTATCCAACATTCACTCTTTGCAGGTTCTATGAGGAAGCGGCAGAAGTGGCCTTTGAACAGAAGGACGAGAGCGCTCTCTTATTTGTGCAAAATAAATGCCCATTGAACGAAACTACCAAACACGCTAAGATCTCCTCACTTCTCGAACGATTACCTATCAAAAAGTGAACATTTTAAGTGTACTATTAGGTTGAAATTATTATTCCATTATAAATAAAAAAGTCATTGCTATTATCCTTTAGTTCAGTGAAACTTCGCTAGAGTAGGTACCGGCACCACTGGTGCTTTAGGAGCTGTTACACCAAATAACGAATTATTCATATTAATTGGTTTCATTTTCTAGCACATTGGGAAACACGACCTGTCCACCCACTATGTTAGTGTGAACTAAAAGTATCGACAATAAACATAAATTACAAAAAACTATGAAACTAAAAGAAAAAAATAACGTAAAATTATAGTTCCACTAATTATGTAGGTGCAACAAAAATACAACTTATTTCTCCAAGAACAATAATTATGGCTTCTTATTTCAACTGTGCAATAAACTATTGAAATTTATTGATTTATATTTTTCCTAAATTCTTGTGTTACGTAGTAATTAGTGTTAAAGTATCGTAAGCAAAGTATATCTTTTTAATTTTTTTACGTTTATCGATAACTTCAGATCGTGGATGGGTTATGTAGCTCTCCTGAAAGCTCAATAAATTCATTTTCGAGGTACTAAAGATAAATTTAGCCAGCAAGTCTACGCGCTGTAATAAAATTATATTAATATAAAACCTATATTTATAAAATAAGCTTGTAAACATGTCATTTTATATTGAAATAAAACAATTTATATGGTTGCTGTTTGCTTTTATTATCAAGACGATGGAAGTAATCATGCGGTACATGATATTGCGCACTATTTAGTACATTGGCAGAATTACATACGGCATGGCGTGTAGGAAAGTACATATTATTGATATATAACAGACTTACATCTCCATATCGATACAAAAAGATAATTTATGTTTCTATTTGAATTATATTCAATCTTTTGACCTTCATTTACCTTGAATATAATATTAAATAGGTTATACAGACATCGATCGCGCGATCTTACAATAAGCCTTGGAACATGTCAAAGGAAACCTGCAAACTTGGAATAAAATCAATCGAATTTGCAAATACAAAGGATACTAACATCCAAGTTTATATATTTTTTTTATCGGTGATAGTCAGTACTCTATAGTCTATGCCAGCTTTTATACAAATACAATCAAAGCGACACTGATACAGCCATATAGAGATGGGAACATTGATATCGATAGTCGATATGCAGCGACACCGCACTATCCTAGATGACTATCGATTTAACAGCACTATGAAATATTTAAGCTTTTTATGACAAGCAGAAATAATTGAAGCTTGCACCGTAGAAGCTAAATAAGGCAAAATTCCAATCACTGTTATATTACTAAGGCTAGGGTTGGCGGTATCGCTGCAGTTTCAAATCGACAAATGACTTCACCGACCATTTATTACACATTATTCACAACCATTAAAAAAAACAATTGAATGGAAAACTTCTTGAGCTGTCAAATAATAATCACATAGAGGAAATCGTCGACACGCGTTCTCTGTGTACCAAACACCATACAATTACAAAACTTCTCCAAATTTTTATCCAACCTATAATCAACAACATTAAAATTGGTCATTTCTTTCTTTCTTAATTGACACACACAGATCTCAATCTCTTTGATTATAATCAACTTTCAGTTACTCTTGGAGACTAGATATATATTTAATAAATAAAGTTTTAAGAGACATTGGATGTCTCGTTACATCTGTAGAAATATGCAGACTGTTCAACAAGTCTTTTGGACAACAATTTCAATAACGTTAAGTAATAATAAATACTCAATGCTGTGAAATATATGTATATACATATAGATTGAGTATAGATGCTCCTCAATCTATATGTATAAAGCTGAAGACTTGTTTGTTTAAACGCGCTAGTCTCAGGAACTACTGGTTCGAATTGAATAATTCTTTATCGGTTTAATAGACCATTTATTGAGGAAGGCTGTAGGCTATAAAAGATCACGCTAACGTCTTTAGGAACCGAGCAGCGTGTTAAACCGCGCGAGGGTAGCTAGTCATATATAGTGTTAAAATATGAACAGTCTGCACAATTCCTTGGTACATATTTATTGGTTAACTTTTATTTCTTTACTTACACTGAAATCCTCTTCACAGTACAAAATGTCTTTCTACGTTTGCACACAAAATAAATTAAGGAGACAATAATTATCTATAATCCAACTATCAGTCTTAAATAAAACATGACTAAACAATGTTCTTTCAAACTATAATAAAATGAGCATATACCGACGGTAAAATAAATCCACATTACATTTAGACTGCGTTACAATACGCTAGATCTACGAAATGTGCAAAACTAATTTATACTCTCAATAGATACAACTTTAAACATACTACAAAAAACCTTAAATACACTTGTTAATATCAATTTTAACTTCTATTGCATTAAGAATAAGAACGACGGTAACTGCAGGCTATTGCAATTGTTACATAATTTTAAATTAAAATAAATCTTATGTCTGAGGTACAGGACTCAAAATTGGTCTAAGGTTTGTTAAGATGTTTAGAGTAGTAATTAAAATATACTTTGGTTACATAAAGTAATTTCTAACGTCACATCGAATACTACAGACAGACAGCTAATAATTTGAAGCCAGAGTCAGCTTCTACGCAAATGTTACAATAATACAATAAACATATTAATATTAAAACCACGCTACTATGGAATCGAAACATCTCACCATAATTGGGTTCTTATTTTAATTACTTATATAAGCTGTGACCTATATGGAAGTATTTAATATGACCGAGTTTATCTGTTTCCTGAATTTAAACTTTAAACTCAATACAAATAAGAGTCAGTTATGTTTGTCCAAATTTCAGAAACCAGTGTTCAGATTTTGTCTACACTTTAGTAGTAATATGTTGACACTAGTAAGATTAACGTGGAGTAAAACTTATAAGAAACCTTGCAAAGTCAGAATAAATAATATTTATATTATTTAAAATTGGTATGCTAAATCTAAGTTAAATTTATCTCGGCCATTTTCATAAAAATATGAAAACAGTGTTGATGGTTGCTTTCCAAATTAACGGAAATCAGTTACAATGCAAATTAACGATTCGAATAATTTTAAATTTAAACTTTATGAGATACTTTGCTCCCCCCACACGTCATTTAAATATATGCCTCATACAATGGCATATTATACTAACATAAATCCGATGAGACTTAAAAAAATGGTCTTTATTCCTTCAGGCACAAAGTTAATTTTCTAGTAACATGAATAATAAATAGCCAATAAGAATTGATCCCTATTGAAAAGTGGTAAAGTTCAAATTCACGTCTCATCGTTACATTCTAACTTAGCAATATAATAATTTGAATGAACTGGCGCGTTAGTAGTTCACTAAACTTCCGCAAGATGGCAAGCGCATAGTAAATAATATAATCATTTTGCGAACCTTCTAATTTGCAGCCTTCTTCCCTAGTCATATCACGTCAACTAGATCATATTTATCATTCATATCTTTGAATAATGTTCAAGCGACTGGTACCACTCAAAACCTGTGATAAGGCTATGCCAATATAAACCTAGTCGCCTAAACATTATAGCTAAATTTACATTGCCATAAAACAAAAAAAGAAACAGACAAATTTCACAAATTTTCTTGAGTACACAGATGTTGAATGCTCAAAATATACAGTTCTTAGTACCATAGCTATTGATGTAGGAATCTCAACAAGTACCTACCGTTGCTATTGAAATTGAATTTAACAAAACTGACATAATTTTCAATATGCTATGCACAATTTTGTTACAAAGCTTTCGTTTCGTGGCAATGTAAATTGAGCCTTATACATTCATGTGCACAGTTAAAATTTAATTTTGAAGAAATTATGGGTATTTTCACTGAACGCTTCAAGATCTAAGCTCTGTCTTTCTCACTCTTAATAGCAATATATAGGTATATTACTATGAAATATAATATTCCATACTATTTTCTTCAAACCTCTTCACATTCAGTTTATAAAACCCACTACTTCTTTGAACACCCTCAATCGAAAACGACATTTTTAATTCTATAATTTTAAGAAAGGGTTGGAAAAGGCAATCTCGTACCATAGCTTCATTGCGCATAACATCGTAAAAGGATCCAATTATAACGTGTTAAATAAGTACATTATTTTTTGGCTTTATTTTTTTTGTATGTTTCAGTTTTATTTTACTAAAAAGACAAACATTTTAAATTATTTAGGTAATGCATTGAAGCACAGATTACAATTTGCTTTTTTAACTCCCTTCCACCCTGCACATAGCACTTAAATAACAAACCAAATATGAATAACAGTAAGGCACAACAAACAAAAAAATATATTTTAAAACGATTAATTTTTCAAAAAAAAATGTATCGTATCGTTCGTTCATAAGACAAGGTTGTGAAACACGTTCAAACACTGAAATACGCTCAATTTTAAAATTTGAATACTACAGTTTGTTGCTCAACACCCACTTATCCCGATTATGGGCCCCGGTCGTGGCTCGAAACAAATCTAGTTACCGCGAACAGAAAATATACGCGGAGAAACATCAAGATCTTAAAATTCAAACTAAAATTTAATAGTGTTTAAGTGTTTGAGATAAAATATACGAAAATAGCTATCGTAGTTATAATTTGAAATGTCGTTTCTTTGGTAGCCGCACTAACATACTTTTATAATCCAAATATCACACGTTTTACCCGTTAAGCACCGTGACCATACTAATCTTAATCTTTAGATATAATTTCGCTTTGGAACTGTTATACATATATACATACATACATACATACGAATTTCACATCATTCATAGTTAACGCCCAATCACTATTTTGGTAGCACCTCAACCGTTTTCCTCCTAACATTATCCAACCATTATAATACCAATAATTCGAAAGGATATATTTTGATAGTTCCTAACTAAATGTTTTTAAGAGCATTTGCTACAATTACGCACGTGTCATTTGAGTCTTTATTATATGTAGTCCTATAAATATAAGTATGCAAAATGACATATTATTTTATATATTTTTACGTTAGGAACATGTTAAAACAGTTATATCAATTGTTACGTATTAATAGTCAAGCAAAATAAATATATCTGTATTTACGTAATCGTAGCAAAGTTCATCTACAATATTAAGCTCCTTTTGTGAAAATTCTAAAGTAGGGAGGTACCATCTGTGTACCTGTTAACATCAAGCACGTACTCCTTTTTAAACTGTTATTTCGCCACCTCTATACTAATGTTCCAAAAAAACTATGATCAGTACTTGCACTGCAAAACCAAGAATAAATAATAAAGGCACCAAAACCTAGACACATTTAGCGCACATTTTATCATATCAAATATAACGAACAAACGTTGCCAGCCTTAAAAACTAGGTATTTTATACGTGACGCTTATAAGCAATTTTTTTTACTTTTTTTTAAATACCATATCACATTTACGAGTATGACTTTTATTCTAATTCCAAAAAGATACTTAAGTGAACGCTATTTTTTCTTTGTTTTCTTTTTATCTTAATTTAAAAAATCTAACAATGTGAATATTAAAACAATTATGAACGTAAAGCGTTTCGCGTGAAATATACGATTAAGTACACATGTTAGAAATAATGGCACAAAGAGATACGAAGGTATGTCGATATACGTACGACATTCACGTTCAAGTTACAGTACACACACCATCGTCCCCGACGCGTAGAGATCACAGAAAATTTAATATAGGTAATAATCGAGCGGGGACGACACTTGCAATAACATAAACCCAATCCTCATACACTTGACCAGTACCTACATCACATATTTGTACAACCTGTCGTACACAATGACAGGTCACACAGCCGTCGCAACTTACTACGGAGACCAACATTGACACGATATTATATGCATATCTATATAGTTTACAAGCTGGTATCTACTCAACACAAAAACTGTTCGATCAACAAACAGAATCAAATAATATAGGCTCTCCACCGCATCTCCTTGTAAATAAAATTAGCGTTCCAATAACTTATAAATACTCACTAATCAACATAAAATCTCAAACAAACAAAAACAAATAAATATAACTCTCCTATCTCTTTGAGAAACAATTATTCTACCTCTGTAGACGAAGGTGCGATGGGAATTATTTGTGCAAAATGTAATAATATAAATTAAAAGCATGCACAAGCACAATCAACGATATACACAGGTTAACACCTTCATATGACGACAGTTAATAAATTATTTAACGCATTCAATGAAAATGAACTTTTTTTTCACTTTTTTTAGGAACTGCATGTATACTATACTAGTGACTTAAATTCGTTGAGTGGAAGCTGGCGGGCTCAGTGGGGCGCGTCGGCTCCGTACAGCGAGGCGAGGTGGGCGGGGTGCGCGGGGTGGGAGGGGGGCGCCGCCTGCACGGCCAGCTTGGGCGCGCGCTCCAGGCGCAGCTTGTCGGCCGCGCCGCCCGCCAGCAGCCCGCCGCCCGGCGCCACGGCCACGGCCGCGTGCTTGGGCAGGGACCCCTTCAGCGAGTCGTAGATACGCACCAGCTTGTTCCCGTCCACCGCATCCAGCAGGTTGAGGGTCCGCGACTGGGCAGGCGAGCTGGTCACCACGAGCCCCGTCATCTTGGCCGCGTGCAACTTGTGCTCCGACGTCGACGACTGACTAGACGCGATGTGCTGGGTGATCGAGTGGCTCTTAAGCCCTTGCGCCGTTTTGTAGCTTTTGCCGCATGGGCATCTGTAGCCCTTTTTTACCCTGGAAAATAGCATCGACCTACTTACTACGACCACTCTAAATTAATCATTTATACAAATAGCATACTAATTACGTTTAGATAAAGCGACCACAAACAGCTAGGCCAATATAAATTTACATATTTTATCAATAGTTATCGTACCCACTTACTTCAATAATTATGCTAACGATTTATGACTTACGTAGATATTGCTATACCTAGTAAATACATTGTTCTAAGTACTCTACGGTTTATGAAATGAATATACGCGCTCAAAGAATCCAAATGTAAGAACCTACAGTTGTAACTACAAAATTAAATGCAGAATATGACTAGTATCTACCCATTTTTTCCAGAAATACTCTTGTGCAGTGAGACGCTTCTTGGGGCCAGTTATGAACTTTTTATTGTACTGGTCGGGGACCGTAAGTACTGGGTATTTTCTATCGAAATAATAAATTATGTAAAAACTCAATTATATTTTACATGAAGAGTAGGTATAATTCTTAGAGCGAAAGAGAATATACAAATCGGGACATTTAAACTATATTGTCTCCTGTGCATTAACAGTGCAAAGACCCAAATGATTATACACAACGAATTTAAAATATTGGGTCCTTAAATTTATTAGAGGCATTTAGAGAGACTTATAGGTATATAGCAGTGAACGGAAACCGTTTGATAATGATGGAATTCCCTTCATTTAAACAATTGGAATGAGATAATACATCGGTTTTCATACCGGCCTTGATAAATTATGAACAGACCTCCTAAGTAGATAAACATGAACCATTTCATGTCGGTAATAAACGTATAATGATATCTCAAAGGAAATCACTTATTTGATTGCGTGTATTAAATCATATTAATTACGAATCGTATGCAATTAAATACATCGGTAGTTTCGTTACGTGATAGATAAATTTCAGACGGTATATGTTCTAGTGACACACATTTTAGGAGATCAAAAAATGCATGGCGTGTATTGAACTAATAAATATAATGCAAAAAGACAGTAGACACGAACTAATTGCTATTTCAAGGTTTCGATACGCATTTAAACAACTAGCACATTTTACGCTGGCAAAATATTTGTACATAATACGCCACTAAAAAAATATTATCTATTTAATATCCCCTTCTTAGTCAACTGAAATCATAAGTCTAGAGTATTGGATTTGCAAAAACTTATAACAATTACATGGCCAATTATTTCAACCCCATGCTTTGAACATCCCAGGCTTACACTTAAACATAAAAAGGTTTTACTTCAGATCATCAGAATACTTCATAAAAAAGTGCGCATACTTACTTGCCATCCTTTTTGTGTCCATTCTTGGAATGATACTTGATTCCGTTCACGTTCTTGTATCTCTTCTTGCATCCGGGCACCGGACAGGCGAACGGTTTCTCCTGTGCTGCGGGACCCAGGGCCCCGGACGACGCGCTCGCGTTCATCCTAAACAAAAACACTTGGGTTCAAGTGACAAGCATTATTATTATAGTTATATCAAATTTATCATAAATAGTGATAACTGGCAATTGAAAGATAATGGGGACCCATAACAACAGTTTCGTTTAAATATTGTAACCGACATATTGAACTGGTGAGGTCCGGGTATGCCCTAAACATCGAGGGATGGACAGCAGTCAAAATTGACAATACCGATGGTTCGCGAAAATCGCACAATTCTTGAATTTTAGACTGCCAACCATATTATGATGGGAATGAAAGTATTTTTGTCATCATCATTATCATCAGCCGGAAAACGTCCACTGCAGGAAAAATGGCCTCCCTCCCCCTTAGCCCTCCACGTCGGGCGACAAGTTGCCACCTGCATCAATTGGCTCCCCGCGACTCTGAAGATGACGTCGGTCCACCTAGCAGGGGAGGCCTGCCCACACTACATTTTCTAGTCCTTGGTCGCCACTCTAACACTTTTTGGGCCCATCGGCCGTCCGTCCATCGAGCGATGTGACTGCCCATTGCCACTTTAGCCTGCAGATTTTACGAGCAATGTCGGTGACTTTAGTTCTTTGGCGAATTTCCACATTTCGGATTTTGTCGCGCAAAGAGACCCCGAGCATAGCCCGTTCCAGCTCGTGCTGAGCGACTCTGAGTTTGCCAAGAAGACCAGAATTTAAGGACCACGTCTCAGTACAATACGTCATCACCGGCAACACACACTGGTTAAACATCCTGGTCTTCTAAGTATTTTTGTATCGGTTCGGAAATACCGTCGCCGAAAAGACCATTTCAGAGTTTTGCAGTAAGATTAAAAAAGTTTCGCGTAAATCATCGTTGAGTGCCAACCATCTTCTTAATGGGACAAGACCGCCGCAACCTCCCAAAACGGCTGCAACTCCTGAAAGGCAGGGATCAAACCGAACAATTCATCAAAATACTCCCCGTGGAATAGGCGATAAAGAACATCTAGCGAGGCTATATGTCTACGCAGTGCCAAAGAGTCTATCCAAAGATGTACGACCTTACTGGCAAGACTTACTGGACGAGGCAATTCTCTGATGACCTAATAGGAGCATCAACTGATATGTGATAGCCGTCCGGATCAGAGGTCAGCAGAAGTTCCAACAGTGGAAACCTATGGAAATCGTGGGCAGACGTCATGACATGCGGAGCGTGGTCAGTTCTACTAGAGCCAAGCCAGTGGGCGTGGTGAAAATAAAATCATCGTGGAAGATGACCTTCGCTAAGGGTATCTGCCCCTGCACAAAATCTACAGCCATCTGGATATGTTTCACAACTCTGTCAATCTCGCTATCACATCACCGCCATGGGATCTATAAAGGCACGCGTTGATGCGGTACGGGTGGTCGTCGCTATGTACACATAGCCATGCCCTTCGAGATATCTGAGGCGACGAGAGCTGATATCGTCCCTGGCGTACACGCACCCATATACTCCAGTCCGTACCCTGGATATGTGACGGGGCCCTAAAGGTCTGATGTTCAGCCGGGGTTGCGGGGTAAGCGCAATGAGGTACCGCGACCTCGGCACAGAGCAAGAGAAGGAACAGGCGGGTTTTTAGTCAGTAACACCCGGTTTCTGAAAGGCTTGTCAACGCTAAAATTAACTAATCTCCTGTTATATCTCTTGTCAAGTCATTTGATTGGTTGTTGATAATTCAGTCAACCAATCAGATGACTTGACAAGAGATTAAATGGATTTTAACATTGATCGGCCTTTCGGAAACCGGGGGTAAGAGTCTGACACTCCCTCCTGCCCGGCCCTGGGCGGGAGAAGTCATTTGATGATTTTCCCCTCACAAAAAAAAAACCCTGGATATGTGAGGTAAGATGTGTCCGACGGAAACGAAACCTACTGCGTCTCAGTAAAAAAGACTAAGGCCGGCTTTTATGTCTCAAGCGCACTGAGGTTGGTGTTAGTCCCCTGATCTTGCAGAAGTCCACGTTCAACGTGGCAGGGGGCGTCAACGTTTACTGCTCTTGCCTCAAGCGCTCCCAACTCTCAGAGTACGACGTAGTGCGGCCACGGGAAGGTTCCATCTCACTCACAGTGGTAAAAGTCCGGTTAAATCCGGTTGCCCTGGCCCATTTGTGCCAAAGCTCTTCCACAATAAACGGAAACGGTTGGTGAGGAAATAATGCCAACTTGAAGATGCCACTTAATCAGGTTCCCAATAACGAGAATATCAGAAGTATTTCGGGTACTTAAGTAGTTTTAGGTGGTATTTTAAGGTTATTTTGAAGAAGGTGGTACCTACTTATAAAATATAAAAAACTTAGTTTCTGAACTTACTTGACGCCGTAGCGCAATATGAACTCTGAGCTGTACTCTTCGGCCGTCGTCCACGAGTCGTTGCTGTCTTCAGATGGGCTAACGAGCTCGTCTTCATCCATCTCGCTTCCTAAAATAAACGAATAAATTATTTCAAAGATGATCATCATCATTATTATAAGCCTTTTTTTTTTTGTGAGGGGAAAATCATCAAATGACTTCTCCCGCCCAGGGCCGGGCAGGAGGGAGTGTCAGACTCTTACTGACTAAAAACCCCCCTGTTCCTTCTCCTGCTCTGTGCCGAGGTCGCGGTACCTCATTGCGCTTACCCCGCAACCCCGGCTGAATTATTATAAGCCTAAAGCTCAATTTGAGCACTAATGTATGATGTTACATATAAAATGTGAATCCAGCTACGCCCGTCTATTCACTATAAACGAATTTTAATGCGGGCATATGGTTTCTTGATGTAGGATCCCAGGTGTCCCTTGTACGTGTCAATAAGTTTAAAATGGCCTTGCCTTTTCGTCTACTTGCAGGGTGGCAGAGCAATGAACACCCGACAAATTGAACTTTGTAACAAAATCTTTATCCGACAAAAATGTAACAGCGCAAACAGCCTTATATCTATAAATGTAATAATAATTAAAAACTTTAAATTCAATTTCAATAATGAATTTATACTAAATTTAGCAATATATAGCTCTTACAAGACTGTTTACCAAGTCCAAAGTCCAAATACAAAATTGTGAGTGGGTAGCCGAGATGAGCAGGCGAGACCGAAGTATGAAAAAAATTAAGTAAAAAAATCAACACTCACTGAAATAATGATATAAATTATAAAATTAAATGTAATAACCAGTGGGCGTGCTGCTGCGGACAGAAGGTGTCTTGGGTGCAGACAAGAGGCGGCGGCGGACATCGGGAACGGGGGCTGCGTTTTGGTTTTCCCGCTTTGAAGCTTCCGAGATAAACTTTAGAACGTAACTTAGCGGGATACATGCTGGTTGTGAAGCTTCTTTCTGTTCTATTACTGCTGGATCGTAATCTGAAAAATAAAAACATTAAATATTATAATTTGATGTGCCGGCACTCACAATATTAAGATCAGCTGGTCCCGATCAGCTGTTCAGCGAGAGAGGATTATTTTGGTAACTCGTAAGCAGCTACGATAAACACAAAAAACATTCTAAAATAACTTCTCACATGCATGAAAAGGCTAAAAAGAATTAAAACAAACCATTAAATAATAATAGAAAACCTGTGCCGATCCAATCATTATTTATAATTGACGCAAAAATACCCTCCAATGGTGACAACATTGGCACATTGATAAGACGTAAATTGGGAGGGTCATGGATTACATTACATGCCTAAAATAAGAACTATTACTTATAATAGAGAATAATATTTAATATTTACCGATATGGACATCTTCGATGTGTTCAATTAAGTCGGCTAATCTTGGAAATGTTATGCCACAGCCATTAAATTTACAGATGTTTATCATGAAGACGGCCATGTCGTACAATGGTATTGCACTAGTCAATGGCAGCACTGTATTCATTTAACCTGTAGCCATTATCAAGACTTAACAACGAAAACCAAATTTCGATTTGATAAATTAATTAACAATTCATAAAATGTAGAAAAATTTTCCTGTACTTAGTTTTGTACATAATTGATTTAATATAAATATATTTTTTAAAGGTTCATATTTGTTTTTCTATCCGCGCATATTGATCCGCAGTTGGTAGCACTGAACGGAACTGACTGTAATATCGACCAATAGCAATGCGGCATTTGTGTTCTGTTTCACTTGACCACTCAGAAATTGAACATTCCAAAGGCCGGTCTCCTCCCTCTCGGTGTTCTTTGGTAAGTGCGGCAGAATTTAGTGAAATATTTAATCGTGAAAAAGTGTAATAATTTGAAGCCATCATACAATAAAAAGTGTTTCCAATTGCGTTTTCAACCATATAGTGTGTGATAGTGTAAATATTTATTTGTGCACTCGTAAGTTGTCACAGAAAATCTTCATCATTCCTATTGAAGTCCGTTCGCCGATTCGGCCATTTTCGTTCGACAATCTAATAAATAGCTTAGAGGTAACATTCCATAGATCTGCCCATCAAATTCTGTGCACGAAGATACCAAATTGCCTTTATAATCAAGATAGTCTAGGTTGTAGTATCCGAGTCTCCGTTACGTAGCACCGTAAATTACGTAACATACTGCGGTCGTCGGTCAAACTGTCAAGTGACTTCCACATAAACTTAGGTCTATCAGTAGGCATTTAGACTCACTAGTCTCGAGTAGCTAACTCATCTAGTCGTACGGTTTCTTTCAGTTGTCGCTCGCCGCACCTAAATAAATCACAAAATGCTGTCTGCCGCCAGATTGATCGCCCCTGCAGCCAGGTCTGCTGTAAGTATTATTATCTTTTTTTTATTATTTCCATTTTTATATAATTGAAATTCGACTGTGGGACTTGTCAATTTATACAGTGGCGTTTTTATTATTTGACCTTGATAAGTTTCTTCTTGGCTTTGTAACTTATACTTACCGGTCTCATAGGTTAATTGGAGAGAATATCAGTAAATTATTTCCTTATTTATCACTAAGTTACCACCTTGCAGCGCTACCCACAGTTGGAATAAATCATTACATAATCCAACTTCTGTTCCAGTATTAGGTAACAAGAATTATCACCCAATTTCTAATGAATGGATAAGCGCCATATAATCGACATTATCTAAATCATTAATGATGTCTTATTTTTAGTTTGTTGCTGTATTGATTTTTAGGGTGTAACTCTCTTTGAGGTTATATGAAATGTTCTGACAAATTGTTTTGTGTTATAGATCTTCAACAACACAGCCGCCGTGCGAACACTGGCTGTAGTCCCCACACACACACAAATCCCCACTGCTCCAGCTCAGCTGTCAGCAGTGAGGTCCTTCCAGACCACCGCAGTCACCAAGGACATTGACTCTGCTGCCAAATTCATTGGTGCTGGTGCAGCGACAGTTGGAGTAGCCGGCTCCGGTTAGTTCTGCAACTTTCTAATAAGCAGTTTGATTCCAATTGTTTCTATCTTGATGTTCCTCACTAAGTTTTAGTGTTCCCAAGATAATGTATCTAAAGTTAATTGATACTGTCTTAATCGCAATTTTTTGAGGAAGTTAAAGTATTTTATAGTATACTGCATTAATCATGTGCACTTCAAGGTATCCCTGTTAAAATTTAGTGTCATTTAATGTAGTAACTTACCAGTAAACTTACATTTTGCCATGAGTGATTGCATAACCCGCAAGCATCTTATTGATTTTCTTAAGTTTGGCTACCCAAACCCACTACTTATGTAAGCACATAAGTGGGGGTTCAAAGTGTATTGATTACATGTGGGAGAGCAAGGAATAACACTTGTATGTCATAAAGTGTGCATGATAATGTATGAGTTTATTAAATGCAGTTGTCCTTAAGAAGTTAGTATTTTGGTAGTTTAGAAGCAATCTTTTAGTTTCAACATTCTTCTCCGTACCACTAATGCTAATTGAGTTTCCATAAAGCTAGCTTTACACATATCATACATTTCAATATGAAAGAAACATCAAATTATCCACCAGTTACATTATCTGGAATTAGGCAGAGGTGGAAAAGTGAGGTCTACCGGAACTAAGTAGAGATGTTCCATTTAATGATTTGTAAATTTATTAATCAATCATTGAGACAATAAATTCATTTGTGTAAAGGAAACTGCAGACTGAAACACAGTACTGCCCATAGTAGTTTATATATTCACTTACAACATATAAAGAAAATTAATTCCAATTGGAATAGGTAGTGTATTTATTGTTACTTACCATGTATTATATATGGGATTATACAAACTTGCAATAATTTTATTACAGGTGCGGGTATCGGAACGGTGTTCGGCTCCCTTATCATCGGTTACGCCAGGAACCCCTCCCTCAAGCAGCAACTGTTCTCATACGCCATCTTGGGTTTCGCCCTGTCTGAGGCTATGGGTCTCTTCTGTCTTATGATGGCGTTCCTGCTGTTGTTCGCTTTCTAAGCTATTTACTTTTAAGAACACTACTACTGCCATCCCACATGACGAGGTTTCAGTGATTTACTATCTGGAGTGGACGGCCATGGAATCGAATGTGTGGAAACCTCACCCTCATAGTGATGCATGGACTGATGTGTATAAGTGTTACACTTACCAGTGCGCGTCATCAGGAATGCAATTTATTTAATTATGTAGTATACAAGGAAAGCAAATAAAATGTTGTACGTAAATCATAACTCTGGATGCTACAGTTATTTCTATTCCTGATTATTGTAGACTGTTCTGAATCATGTTAAACTTTTAGCCTCATATCAAAGTTCGGCGACAATATTATAGTTTTGCCAGTGACTGCGTATATTTGCGTGGATATTGTCATCGATTTTTGTAATGTGAGTTTATCCTGTTCAAGAATGTCGGCATCTGTATTGTACATTTGTAGGGCGATTAAATGATACAAAACCAAAATGAGCGTTTATTATAGTAGTAGCTAGTAGTAACCTTAATCTCTTACAGCTCTGAATAATAGAAGCCAATACCTTAGAATTCTTAGAAGCTTGATGATTTAGTTTTTGGAATGTACTGCTAACTCATAAGGAAGTAGTACTACCTATCTTCCTTTTTACAAAATTTGGAAGTCGTGCAGGTTACTAATTTGGACAGGATTTTAAATGAACAGAAACAAATCAGTAAGATACACCTAGCCTAGTTACATGCGCAATATGCATCTGGCGAAGCAGTTGCCTATAGGAAACTAGAAGTAGTACCTAGTAAGCCTTTTGATAGGTCGATATCCATCTACCAATGCAACGTCCGTATGGTATTGATGGGTTATTACCACCCGTTCCACCATACATACATGAACAAACAACGACCGAGTATCAAATGCAGTAATGTCGATTTCGATCTAAAGTTAGTAGATACTAGATAGGAAGATCTTTACTAGGTACGATGGACCATATAAGTAGGTAGGTAGATACCGTCTATGATTATTTTTTAGTGCCTACCGAGGTATTCAGGTCACAAGTAGATAGGTAATAATAATCAAGTGTAAGGCCGACCAAACGTTGGTTTACATATTTAGAACCCTGAAAAAATTACATATAAAATGATCAACGGGCGCTATATTTATTTCCCGAACAATAAAAACTTACCGTTTGATTTCTTAACAACGTACGTAGGCGCCAGTCTTATGGAATACCGAATCTGAATCCCTAATTGGTAAACGGACCGTATGCAGCCAGCCTATTGACCAGGCTGGACCGTGGTCAGATATTTCATAGGTAGTGGTGATAAATTCACGCTTTGTGTATTTCCATATTTGTTTTCGCTTTAAATGTATCAATATATCCTTCATTATTTTTAAGATAATTTACTTTCTCGTCGATCGAATTTAACTAAATGATTACATGAATGGTACAATAATAATAAATCTTACAAATCTAAAATCTGGCTATGGTTCACGCCATATTTTCTTCAGAGTGCATTGCAACAAGCCCGTTACATAACTTGAAACGGTTATGCCGATCAATACTGTTCACAATTTGATCAACTGTTACATTTTACTTATCTATCTATGATAGACCGTACATTTACATTAGAATGCTTATCGATTCTACTTTCTAGATAGAAACTAATAATTTATAGGGCTATGATTGATTTCATGCCTCTCAATCCCGTAGTGGTAAAGCAGAGGTTCACTTACTTTGTCGAGAATAGTGTTCAACATTGAGAACAAACACAATGTACAAAGGAATCTGCGGCTTGACGTCATGCCCTTTAACAAGAAAATATCAATTGGTGAGCCAAGCTACCAACTTATTTAGCTTAGTTCGTAGGCGTATGTAACAGAAGACATCCGGTGGTTTAGATAACGATTAAGTTATAGGTTCATACCCACTTTTTAAGAAGTGCATGTTGCATATGACTGTTCTTGCCAAACCTAGGCTAAATAAATTTTTTGTATTCTTTAAATCAAGAAACCCTTTCGTGAAATAATATTTGGCTTTGACTACACCTTCGGGAATCGCGATCACACCTTTTGCGTATTGTTATGTAATGTGTTAGCGAGTAGTAACAGTAGGTAATGGTTGGGACGAGGAATTCAATTCCTACAGCTCCAAGTAAGATTACAATATTACCAGTGGTATAAGTCGATTAGAGAGAACATTTCTTTTAGTTCTTTTCTTGTCTAAAAAAGTATAGAATTTTCTCCACTCGTTAAGTTTCTATGGAAAATATAAATAAACTTGGTACACCTAGCGGCAATAAGAGCTAGTACCTATATACAAATAAAAACTAAGAAGTGCAGCTATGTTCTGTTCATCCAAGAGTCGCGATAGACACTGGAGAAAGATTACACAGGCATACAATAATTAATTATATATTTTTTTCAACTATATAATCAGCAATCAGTTATAAAAATTTGCTAGGTTGAACGCGCTAATCTCCGGAGGTACTGGTTTCAATTGAACATTTATTTTAGTGTACATATCATTTATCGGAGCTTATGAACCATAAATCATAACGCTTAGACCAATGGGGTTCGAACAGCGAGTGAAACCGCGCGGAAGTTGGTAGTTAGTATAAAGTGGAAGTGATATTTTTTTATATTCCATAATACCAACTTAATTTAAAACCGCTAACTTACGGTGGAAGTCATTGAAGTAATATGTATGTATCCTGACCGGTTTCGGCCACAGCGACTTGACTCTACCTATTGAGAACTTCGATGTTGTGCTATGTAATAAACAGGGTAAAGTGCAGTGTCAATAAAATATCTATTTGGTTTCAAATCTGTTAGTCCGTGGGGTGGGGCCACAGCCCGTACATTGTTTTTCATCGTCTTTTGGCTACTGAAGAATAAACTTGACATGAAATAAAAATTCTTTCTTATATCAACAAATTTATTGCAAATATGTTTATTTTTTATGAAAAATATCTAAGGGAATACCTCCGAACATAAAGGGAAAATAAATGTACTAATTTCGTACTTGGCAGAGGTAAACACTTAAATGTTAAGAAGTTATGTCCAAATAAAAATAATAGGTACATGATAATAGTCACTATACTTTTTGAGGCATTTATAATGCAATAGATCGAGAAATTTTACAAAAAATATCAAAGCAACAAAATGAATTCAAACCATAATCATTCAGGTATTTGGTGTGCATTCAATTTGTTTTACAATAACACAATAAGTATGATAAATATCTCAAAGAAATGTAAAAACCAAATTCATTCTAACACACATGGGGAAACAGTTATAAAGTTTATTTGGTGTTGAGGATATCACTTGTTATATTTTCCTACATAATTTATCTCTCAATCACTCCAGTCTGCCACTAAATATTTCACATCATCTGGTATATAAACACACTAAAATCTCTTAATCCCAATAGAAGGACAACAAGCTATATTTATTATAAACAAAATTTAATGTCTACACTTCCTTGAGAGGTACAATTTTAAATAAATGTCACAGGCATAACATAATTTTCGTAGTTGCGGCATCAGTAAACATGCATACATACATGATTTAGGAAACAGGAATCAACAATACAGCAATAGGTACTATTTCTTTCTATGATTGACTATTTAAACAATGTTTGTAAAACATCTTCACAATAATTTCACTTAGCCTACAGCAAAACAAAATAAGGCATTTTCCTACACTTTTCTATCAAACATAATTATCCAAATAGAAACTGCTCATCACGAGTAAATCGAATTCACGATAGCAACTACTGTTTCACATAATCAAAACTCATTTCAATTAGATTTTTTGTGAGATCAACACTCGTAATATTATTTGGTCCAATATTTAAAGAATAAAATGCTGTCATGAATTCGAGTTACAAGATCAAACTTACACATTATTTTTGGCTCAACGCGTTTCCCGTGAAGTCCATAACTTTACAACTAAACATCGTCTCTTCACTTCCATAAAAATCTTTTTATGAACTAGTCTTGATATCTTCTTTATATTACATTCTATTATAAATAATGTGTTAGTACAATATTAAATCGCTTCAGTTTCAAACTGATTACCCTTGCATATGGTAATAGGTCCATATGTTTCGTGTTGGTCTAACTTCAACACTTGATGTTTTTTGAGCACAAGTAAACTGTAAAATTTCTGTGCAACCTGCAACAAAACGAAGGGTATAATGATGAATTATACTAAAAAGCATACACTGTAATCATTGTGATATAATATATGTTGAATAGGCTAACAGATAAAAAATAAGGTCGTAGGTAGTAAAGAAACATACCTGTTTTCTATTATTATGTCTTGGTGCAAGATCTGTGAATGAAAGTTGTAGTCCGACGGACAGTTTGGGTTTCATCACGGCGAAGAGTTGCGCGGCACGACGGTTCAGCACTCGCTCCTCGAACTGCTCGTCCGTCTCACCTGCTTCGCGTTCACCCTCTTCCGCCTAGTAATAATGTACATTTATAAATAAACCATATTAATATTATAGAAGTATTTGTTAATTTTATGCTTCTTTCTTCTATGTGAATCATTTTATCTTAGTCACGCGTATGAAGTCACGGAAGTTATAAAATAAAATATGTTATCTTTCTTTTTTATGGCAACATTTGGGATATTCTTTAATATTCAATTTAGAGGAATCAGTTGGATTATGTTATAAAATTTGATTATGATACTTACGTTGTCTGGCGTTAAAGGTAAATCGTAATCGTGTTGTGGACTGTTGTGTCCATGTTGGTCGTCGTAACCCAAGTTTGTCATTTGCATTCCATTCTAGAAATATAAATATGGTGATTAATATTAACAAATTACTATATTTAATTGTTCAGGCGGTCTGTTACTTTCGCTAGAAACGCGCTAGCTAGATACTAATCATAGAAATATCGAAAAAATTACGTCCGGCACGTTCCAAGGACATTGACTGCCTTGAACGATATAAACCAGAAGATCATTAGGATAAGAAAGAAATATGTATACAGTGTCCACTTCTTTCGGTTTTGGACATTTTGACAGGTTTATGTCCAGCTAAAGAAATAGCTCAGATTTTACAAAATTAGTTGTTTACCTGATAATCGCCATGGTCCTCGAGGCCATGTAGCAGAGGTTCCATAGGTACAGTATGTGGGAGGTCGTGAGACGCTCTGTCTGCGGCCGGAGTAGGCAGAGAGGTACGTAACAAGGAGGACACTTGGTCCCCGCCTAGCTGCGGCATCATTGGCAGCTGTTCCAGACCATGCTGGAGAATCGCGCCGTGTTGTACTCCTGTCATGTTGATAAAGGCATTAATACCACTTTCATTGATGGCTTTCGTTTTTTTAACTAGTGGCCAAGAGTGGTTAAGTATAATTTCCCGATGTTCCCAGTAAATAAGAATTTCGAAATAAGAATTTCGAATTTTACTCTTATAAAAACTTGATACTAAGGATTGGAAACATATCAAAATTGTTATCCTGGCCAGTTACTTGGAAAGTTAAGTGCAGACATACATTTCGGTGAATTTTTTTATTTCTATAGAATAAAAGAATAATGATATTCATACCTCCAGGTGTCATTCCACCATGTTGTAATCCAGCTGGGGTCATGCCGCCATGTTGTAGCCCCGCGGGGGTCATGCCACTATGCTGTAGCCCGGCTGGGGTCATACCGCCGTGCTGTAATCCCGCCGGCGTCATACCGCCGTGATCTAAACCACCTGTCGAGTAGAATTCATAAGCTTATAATTACCAGAGCATCTTTTTCCCGACCTTTCCCAATGACGTTGTAGGAAGGTCGGTGTGTTTCAACGTTAGGAAAAATATATATCATTAGAACTGTTAGGGCGCTCTCTAAATTTAATCTGCCACGGATTGTGGTCTGATGAAGTGAAGTTGTTACCTGGCGTCATGCCTCCGTGGTGCAGACCGGCAGGAGTGAGGCCTCCGTGTACTAATCCCGCGGGCGTCATACCGCTTTCTAGTAGACCCGGGGTCATACCTTGAAATTTATGGCATGGTTAGTAAAAAAATATGTTCAAATAAACAAGTATCGTACAATAATAAATTAGATAAAAAAGTATTGAAAAATGTAATGAATCAGCAGATACGATGTCCAGGTTCTATTGTGCAATATTCACATTTGACAATATACCGCAAACAAGCAACTCCTGAACTTTTTGCAGCAATTCTCAGGATATTTCTTTGAAGGATATTTTTTAAACTTTAAAGTTTCACGATATTCCGAAATATCAGTGGTTTTTTATGACAAAAGTACAGTATGTTTTTTGAATTATTATGTATATTACGTATCGCAAGAATGATGATAATGTGAAGTTTAAGTGAGTGTAAATGAAGTAAAATGAATGTATTGAGTAATATAATACTGACCTCCATGGTGTAATCCTGCCGGGGTCATGCCACCTGCAGACAGGCCTAAGTCTACATGCTGACTGTCTCCGTGATGCAGGCCAGCTGGGGTCATGCCACCATGTTGTAAACCACCTGCATTTCAATTATAAGATTTTGTTATAGTGACCACATGGTTGGTTAGTTGATATCAACAAAATTATATCTACAAATTGCCTTTAGCTTTTAATAATTTCAAATACACAAATATTTATAGTAATTTAATATATGTGACCATTTGTACACGATGTGTGCTCAAAACTGACATGGATAAAAAGGTTCGCTTTATAGGAATATCTTTGCAGTTTACGTACCAGGTGTCATCCCTCCATGCGGGAGGCCTGCAGGAGTGAGGCCGGCCTGCAGTAAAGTCCCCGGCGTGAGGCCGCCTAGCGCGCTCGGGGTCATGCCTCCGCCCAGCGCACTCAGCATACCTCCTGCATAGGCAAAACACTTCATTACTACTACTATTCCAAACTAAAGTTGGCTTGAGCTTCATGCCAGTGCATCACTTCCATAATTAGGTACATCATCATTATTGATACTAATTTTGCTTCATATTCGTATGGCTCAGTGGGTGGGGGTTTCAACTTAACTAGAAATTAAGTTGAAACTCCCCCACTTTTAACAATAATAGTGTTACTAACTTCTAATCTTTGACAAAAACTAAAAATAGTATAATATGATGTACACTCTTTTCAAATTTTGGTAACTTGTTAAAATGCAAAATAAAATAATATAACATAAAAAATATGACAAAGCCTGTAAATACCTGGCGTCTGAGGAAGGTCGACATCGACGTCCGGTCGAGGAGTCTGTGGTTCGACGGTCGGTTCCGGCGCAGGTTCGGGCTCTAACCGTGCACCACATGATCCATTGTTAATAGAGTGCGGTTAGGTAGCATAATGTACAAGTTATTTAGAAAACTTCACTATGAATGTTTGTTAGTGTAATAAAGACCTTGTCAGTATGTTTATAAGGTCTAAAATGCATGATTAGGTTATAAAGCTGTACATCAAAGTAAAGTTTTCTTGAAGTTAGAAATGCATGGGGAGCTTTAGAGATAATGGTCTCATTTTTTTATAATAAAATTAAAATTAAAATATTATGATAGAAGGTAAAAGATATGTTGAAAACCCAGACTCGATGAATGACTCAATCAATAAAAATGGTTTCACATTATAATGTATGAAAGTAACCACACCAGAGTCACGGTAGAATATCATGCTATTTAGTACAATGGCTTTGCAAACCACAGCCCAGTGAGAAAGCAGTGAATGATTATGGCTCTGTACATACCGACTGAAGGTTCGTATTCCTGAGGTACAGGAGTTGGAGGTTCCAATTCTGGGGCCGGCGCAGGTGCTGGTGTCTCGGGCGGTAGCATCGTCTGCAAACAATAGAATCCAAGTCAAAGCATTTATTTCAATTATTGCTTGAACACGCACTTAAAAAAAAAAATGTTAAAACCAGCTTGTAGTCTGGGTAAATTATTTCATCAATAAACAAATATTTAATAAAAGATTGGTCTCCTTATACAAGATATAGACACATCAATTAATTATCATCATTATTATATATATAGTATGAGAGTTTAGATTCATTACACCACAATTTTCGGGGAATCTTCCTTCGTTGCAATAAACGACAGCTTAAAAATAAAACAGTTTTCTTGACACACTCCACAAGTTACATTACGGCCTGGTGTGGTTTTGATGAGCCATTGGCTTTTTGCTACAATAAATATTTAAAAATATGTTTTAAATTAGTAACCTCCTCGTGTCTCCTCTTGCGCCCCCCTCGGCGCGCCGGTTCGACCGGGTCGGGCGACCGAGCCGCGGCCGCCGCCGCGTCGGCTTCCTCCGCCTCGCTACGCAGCGTCATGTTACGCTGGTATTTCTGAAATATTCAAATATTACGTTAATAATATATTTCTAAACGACAAATTTAATTATGATGTTCGTTTCGTTTAAAAAGCTAAAGACTGATCTTCGAATAAACAATAGTTAATTGAATACCTATAACTAAAGGACCTTTATATTTTAATCTTCAGTTAATGAAACATAATACATATGTATAAAACATGTGTAAGCATAACTGGAGTTATTATGTAGTATTTAAATTAATACATTTAGTATGAGTAATCAATATTTTGGTCCAATAAATACCTTAAACAATACACTAGAAGGTATTGGCCTAGCAGGCAAGGTGAACAGTTTCTCGACGCCACCGGTTTCCTTCCAGTGCATGAGACGTCTGGTAGGGGGTGCCAAGTCCAACGTCGTAACGATATCAGACGTGTTACTAAGCTGGTTCTTCATTTCCTCACCAGATATATTCTTCACTTCGTCCACGATAAGCTTTCGTTTACGTTTTGTTTTTGTTATGCCTGTATGAAATAAATCTTCATTAAAAAAATATTTAAATAAAAACAAAAGGGTTCTAGTATTTTTTATAGGTTTTATTTTGTTTTATATATTTTCATCATCTCTCTGTTTCTTATCTATCTATATCTATTCTATTTGTATCTTGTGCGTCAAATTACTTAACAATTGTAAAGGCAAAATATGAATGTTACTAGTTATATTGTATAGTAGGATCAAGAAAAGTAAATCCACATTACCTTTAAGAACCGTAGCGTCGACGGGGGCGAGTGCGAAGGATTCCTCGTCGTTGTGCAGCAACGTGGTATTGTCGGGCAGACGCTCGGACGCGCCGCCCGCCGCCGGCTCCGTGCTCGCCGGACGCGGGGCCGGCTCCGGGACTGTGTCTACATCCTGACGAATAACATTTTAATTTAAATTATCAACATCTTTGGTACCAAGAAAATGGCAGTTCCCTGTCACGTATGGTCGACAGTGGCAGTTTGAGTCATCGTAAGCTGACCATAGCGGTCAAAAGGTAAGGGATCATAGAAAAGCGCCTTTTGCCGGCAATAAATTCTTACACTTTATTATTGGATCATGAAGCATAACTAGAGAAAAACAATTCTAGTGTACTTCCACAATGTTATTAATGTTAACAAATACTAATAGTTATTATACAAAACTAATAAAAGCAATTCAATTTCAAAGGTATTATGTTACGTTTTAAATACTAAACTATATCAATGTTGGTAAAAAAATCAATAACTCACCATAGGTATATGTGGGCTCGGCGAAGGAGGCGCGGGCGCCGCTGGTGGGGCCACGCTCTCGGGGCGAGCTGGGGACCCGCCCCAACTATAACACAAAACAAATTGTTTTTACAAACAACACAAAACTTGGATAGTCATCAAGCGTCATCAAGGGTTGTTCTGTGTCGAACGCGAGACACGATGCACAATAGGCAGATGCAGATGCACTGCGATAAGGGTGCAGTCAAAATTACTTCTACACACTCCTTAACACTTAACAATCTCATCAATCTAAATTTGTAAGGAATATATGGCTAATTCCCCCTGATTTTATGATATTATTGGTGGTGATGATCAGATTGGATCTACCCTAGTCATAAAAAAATAATTTAATTGACACATGTTTAAAAGTTTTTTAGCATAAGAGTAAAAAAAAACACACATCCATACAGCATTCATAATATAAATAGGATTACAGTTAACAAACAAACCTGTGTTGTGGAGAGTTGCCGGCATCGTAGTGGTCGCCCATATCATCGTCAGAGTCCGGCGCGTCCGCGGCCGCCACGTCGCCTCCAGTTTCACCAGCGTTCACTCCCGCCGCGTCGATCTCAGCCTGTTATACCATTCATTTCAATTATATCTCCTAAATCAATATCAACAACTATTAATATCATCATTTTGTTAAGTGTAGTGATGGATGTGACGGGTATGGTGGTAATGGATGGGTATGATTTTTTTCACACAATTGGATATTATATATATCATATAGAAAAATATATTATGGGCTGTTATGTTGATTTTCAACCGTCAATACTCATTATTATGGTGTAATAACTAGAAGAAGGTCAAATAGTTCTAAAGTAGTCTCTCGAGTTGTATGCATAAATTTTTCACTGATTAAACTTTCTCTGAATTGCTTGGTGAGAAAATGTAACGACAATTTTCAGTCCTATATAAATTGATCTGTAAGTATACTGTGTATATGTACACAGTATATACAGAAATCTATGTCCGATCAGCTAGTATGAAATAAAGAAAAGATTTATTCACACTTTGTGATAAAAACATAATTTTGTTGCATAATTATCTCTACTTGTGAAATGGATGAGCAGATAGTGTAATGAGTCTGGCCGTTAGAAACCTGTTTAGTAATATGAATGTTTTATCTACAAGAAGTTCTCGTGTATTATATTTTCTTTACCTGGAGAGATTGTGTCTGTGCTGAAGTACCAGGCATACCGGAGGCAGCTGCAGCAGAACTACTGCCGCCAGTTACTTCTCCGAATAGGTCACCCTCGAACAGACCGCCCGCATCTATGTATAACATGTGCACATATTAATCAAGATATTTTATCCTTCTAAAATGTGCCTCATCTACACTAACATTATAGAGGAAAGATCTGTATTTTGTATGTAACAAATAAACTCAAAAAGTACTGGACTGATTTTAATAATTCTTTTTTCATTACAAAACTATGTTATCACCCTGTAAAATAGGCTATATTTATTACTAGATTACTTTGGAAATCTTCAGAAATTACTATTAAACCAACCGAAGGTGTAACAAAATTTGCCATAAAATGTTGTTCACTGCATACCAAGAGTATTAATGAAATTGAGTTAAGTGGGTCATCAAAGGTCACTCTTTCAGTGTATGGCGGTAAATACTGTAACACCTCTCAATATTCAAATTAGTTAATAGAAAATTGTGTCTTTTGTTTTGTACAAAAAATAAATAACTACAACTTTTTAAAATTTTCACTTACGTCCAAAATCCGCAACATCGCCAATAGTTCCACCGAAGCCATCATCCATAGGTGCGTGTGGGGCTGCCTCCATGCGCCGTGGGTGCTCCGGCGCGAGAGCCGGAACTCCACCCGTCAGACTGCCCACTCCACCATCTTTTCCCGCTAGTTCCAGGGACGACCCATCCGCAAACAGTAGGTTACTCTAGAATATAAATTAAATTAATTTCTTAGTTATTAGGTCCATATTAATTTGTTTAGTAACCAAATATGGTATTTAGCAATAATAAACTTATTGTATGCTGTTTGTGCACTAAAACTGTCTCTTGTATTTAATTTCTGTAAATGAAGTTCACCTGTTCCAGTCCACCTTCATTGCCAATAGCTTCTCGCATGATATCAGGATTATCGGTATCGAACCCCATGTCTCCAAATCCATCGTCATGCGTCACGAGGTTCAACGACCCGTAATCCTCGCGCATTGTAATTTCTTCAGCTCTTGACTGATTCAATGAGAACTGGGCCTCAATGTCCACTTCACTAAAATGGAAAAAAATTAAATACAATATAATTGATTAAACACTAACTTATTACCATTTAAGGTAAACACATACTTGGATATATTTTTTATTTTGTTAAATTCTGGACTTATCATTTCTAATTATAAGTTTGAAATTGCCAACCCGCATTGAGCAAGCGTGGTGATTAATGCTCTAACCTTCTCCGTATGAGAAGAGGCCTTTGCTCAGCAGTGGGCACTTATAGGCTGATGATGATGATAAAATTCTGAACAACCAGTTGCTGTTACATTATTTCCTACATCTATCTAAAGTTTAAATACATGATAATGAAGTTAAATGTACTTTAAGGTGTCACAACATGCACCAAATATTTCGTTGTGGCACAAAAAATAAAGAATATAATGTGTATGTGCTCTGCAGAATCATAATATAAGTCATTAGCTATAGCTAGTATATAATGAGGACAGTTAGTTGTGAACACCCCATTGTGTGTCAAGCGTTTATGAATCCCTAATGAATATGAGCTGGTAGTATGGCCTGAAACTAGTGTTCCTTGTTAAAAATAATAATTAATCTATTTAATATTATAAAGAGGTAAAAATTTTAAGTTTGTATGTAGGGGGTAATCTTGGGAACTGCTGGTTGGATTGCCAAAATTCTTTCACTGATAGATAGCTATAATGTTCTTAAGTGCTAGTCTATAAAACATCACGTGAAACCGTGCGAGAGAAGCTAGTAAATAACAAAATAGATGGTTTGATCTATTTTTTTCAATAAGTAACAAGAACTACGTAACTGCTTTAATAAGACCATAGATTGTTTAACATTACTATTTCATTGCAAATAAATCCATTGGATTTGTGTAAATTTAAAGGTATATTACCTAAACATTTCTATCCTGTTAAGTCATTGTTGAAAACATTCTAACTCAACTAAAAGACAAATTGTATCAAAAGATAAATGGCACGCTATACCACAAAAATTAACCAAAAATTAAATTGTATTGCTAATGTTTTAATGAGGGAGTTAAAATAAAACCCATAGTATAAAATTATGCAAATCATAACAAAGAAAATGAAACTCCTACAACTGATGAGAATTAAAGTATGCTACGGAGCTTTCACAAAACTATTAACAATCTTGTAAATACATAATCTCCTAACAATATGAAAAAACCATAAAATTAAAAAGTAGGATTTATTTAATGAATAAAAAGTTTCCTCAAATAATTCCTATAGAAGTCCTTGTGTAATCAAAACAATGAAAACAAAACTCACTTTAATTCAGGCATAGCTGTATCAAAGTCATGGAAGACCTCAGGCAAGGTGATAGCATTCATAGCAGCTTCACGGTGTTCCTCAGGCAAGTCCACCATACCAGGCCTAAAGGCCATCTGCAAGAAACATTAACCCATAACCTTAACTTAATGTTAACTATACATATCAAAATCAATCTACAAATTGCAATCAAGACTTATAATGAGTTGTAAACTAGTCTTGAATAACAAGTTACATGACACCAGATGCATTCTAGTTTACAAACAAAACATATTATCAATGTACTCATTCAATATAAACATACCTTAATCTTGACAAAGGCTTCATTACAATCCTGTAGCAAGTATTTGGCTTTCCTTGAGTAAATTCTCACTACACCCAGCAACAGATGGCCAGATGTACGCAAAGCCATCTTGACTTTGGGTTTCAAGATACCATCAACTGATTTCTCAATATTGGTCTCAAATACATGAGCTTTAGTTAGCTTCTTGTCCCAATGAGCCGCCAGCCAAATCTTGGCCAAGGGGCCCTTCTTGGCCAGCACGAAATGTGCGTAAAACATAGTGATGGTTTACTGTCTGCGGCTTGTTGTTACATCAACTTGGTTCTGAAAAATTATTATGTATTAAGCATCTCTAATTGCGTTTGCTGCAGACCTAACTAAGGCAAACAAACGAAACGGCCTCATAGGGGCTGTTTATTATAATAATTGGTAACGACTGTGAGCAATTTGGCGCCTAATCTTGAAGCACTTTTTTTGGCGATATTTATTATTTTTAAACACATAACAATATTAACGCGCATTATTTAATCCATTTACTCATTAAAATTATGAAAATTAATGTGTTTTACCAGATTTTTATATCAAATATCACAAATTTCACCTTTCACACACAACGTAAACATGACAACAATAACGCTTTCAAGATGGCGGCGTAACATACGAACCGTTGTTTTCGTCCGGAAATTTCATTGCGTTTCATAAACCAGGTTTTCGAGATAAAATAAAGTTCATTAAAAATATATAATTGAAGAGATATATATTATTATTTTTAATTTGAAATAGCTTTGATTATGAATCATAAATAATTCTAAAAGTGTTAAAACGTAATGATATAAATGTCCATGATTTATTCAATATTTTTAAATGATTTTTTTAGTAATATATGTAGTTTTAGTAGTATATGTAGTATAGTTGTCCGATAATTGAACGCACAAAAATTTATTTAATATTGATAAATCAATTGATAAGAGTATTGTATTGTATGCGATGAAATAATTTGTTATTTCTTCTCCTTTGTGTTCCAAATGAGTAGCGTCGTGTTTCGCCGTGAGATTAAGGTTACCGTAGACCCAATCCTAAGATGACAAACAAGAACAAATTGTACGACAAGAATGTGTAATTTTAAAATTATTTCAATAACTTTGTTGTGGATATGGATATTTGGTACTTGACTTGACTTTAAAGTAATAAAATGTCGAACATAAATAAAATGACCAAGAAAGAAGAAGAACTAAATATAGAAGTAGTTAAAGTTAAAAAAAATATGACAAATTGTCTCTGCCTCAGTAACCAGTCATAGACCAGTGAATAATTTCTGTCAGTTTTCTTTTCCGGTTTACCTGTGGAGTACGCGAGACGTACGTTGTATTTGTATCATAAAATATTTAAGATATCATTAAACATTTTTCAATTTAACCTTCTGTTATAGTGAAGCTATAGTGCTAATCTTTTATTGTTCTGTGTATTTATAATTTGATTCGTATATTTCAGTGGTTTCGATATGGCATACATGATGCGTGTAGAATCGCTCTATTTGTGGCCAGACCGATGATGTGACTTCTGATCAATATGTATTGATTTTGTTGCTAGGTCTGCCACAGGCACCTGTCCAAGATGGGCGCGTACAGATATATTCAGGAGTTATACAGAAAAAAGTTGAGCGATGTTATGCGTTTCCTCTTGCGTGTCAGAGTATGGCAGTACCGCCAGTTGACTCGTATGCATCGCGCCCCTAGGCCTACCAGGCCCGACAAGGCTAGGAGACTGGGTTACCGTGCCAAGCAAGGTAATTCACTTTTCATTTTGCCGGTAACTTGTTGGTACACGTGGATTTCTCGTAAAGTTGCGAGTGCTTATGTTTTCTGTTTTTGCAGGTTTCGTTATCTTCAGAATCCGCGTGCGCCGTGGTGGCCGCAAGCGCCCCGTGCCCAAGGGTGCCACTTATGGTAAACCCAAGAGTCAGGGTGTTAACCAGCTGAAACCCACACGCAACCTGCAGTCTATTGCCGAGGTAAATCGCTGTCAACATAAACGTGTACATTTTTAGGTTAAGTTCTGTTGTTATTCATATATATCCACCAAACACGCTGGTGTCAATTTTGTACTATACTACTATACCTAAACCTAGAAGCAATAATAGCAACGTGAAATCTATTTCTTTTTAAAAGCTTGCAATGTTATTGTACTATAATTCATGCATCCCTAGAACACATCTTAATTTCTGTATTATTATTCACAGGAGCGTGTCGGTCGCCGTTGCGGTGGTCTGCGTGTTCTTAACTCATACTGGGTGGCTCAAGATTCATCATACAAATACTTCGAAGTCATCTTGGTTGACCCCTCACACAAGGTAAATGCTACTATAAGGCAACGCTTCCTAGTTATATTTTAACATGATGAACTTTTATGTCATGCACCAATCTGAAAGGTTTTGCTGAATCTTCACCTACCATTTTATCTGATAAATCTTTGCATAATTATAAAGTATTTATTTCCTATACAAAATACTTGATAGATGTTTTTGTTCCTCAGGCGATCCGCAGGGACCCCAAGATCAACTGGATAGTAAATGCTGTCCACAAGCACCGCGAGATGCGTGGTCTTACCTCCGCTGGCCGCAGTTCCCGTGGTCTCGGCAAAGGTCACAGATTCTCACAGACCAAGGGAGGCTCCCGCCGCGCCGCCTGGATCCGCCGCAACACGTTGCAGCTCCACCGCAAGCGATAAATGTTGCATTGGACGTGCCATTGACTTTCTATTTGATTTTTTTTATTCTCATATGGAAAGCCAGTGTCAAATAAAATTTTACTTTACAATTTTGATTGTTTTTTACTTATCTACACTTTCTTCAAACCACCACTCAGTCTGTAAGTATTATTTCAAGTGAATTTCAATTTATTTTGACTCATTCAAATGTTAATCGTTTTTTTTCAATTTATAGATTAACTGACCAAGACTCGACGAGCCTTAGTTGGAACTTCAAAACAGGTAAATATCACAAAACTTTCGAAACGCCTGAAATAAGCCCCTCTGCAATAAACCAATCATCCTGTGCATGTTTTGGAATGACACCCAAATAGTGAAGTCAGTTTCCTAAACATCGCCTTGTTTTGTGTGACCGTAGAACTAAAAGTGATCTGTAATATTCCATACTAAATATTTGCCTTCAAAATATTATTGCCATTTATTACGAATTTATAAAAAAAATCACTTGATTGGTAAAGTAAAATCTAAATTTGAATGATGATACAATGCTTTATGAATGCGCAACCCTGATTACCACGCATTTAAAACTTCCTTGGATGGCTGAACAAACATTTTATTCAAAAGATGTTATAGTTACTATGACTTTTTTTAATGAAGTTGTTTTTTTTCAGTCACCCCTGTTTTGCAGCCATCATCGCGTAAAGCACAAGGTAATCACTATCTTGTTTTTGTTAATTTGTAGTCCAAAATCGTATGAGATAGCTTGTTAAAGTTATTAGTGTTAACGAGAAAACGTATTTTGGAGATATTGAATTCTTGTCTAGGTGAGGTTACTGTTACTTCTATTTTCGGTAAACCTCAATCCGGCGAGAAACAAAATAATGTCACACTTCTATATTATATACGTCTACAATATGTATAGATGTTTAGGGCTAAAAATTATATTTTTTATTCACAGGTCTCGCGCACAAGCATTCCTTAGGATGGATGTAGCTGCTTAATATATTATACAAAAATATGTAACTGGACTTCATTTAATAAAATTAAACATTTTAAAAATATTTTTTATTTTATTTATATCCATGGCACCCTCTCCATTTTCTAAGAATTCAATGGCAATTTATTTATTGGCCTTTGTTCATAAACATTCAATAACACCAGTCTGTAGTCAGAATTTTAATTCGATTCCTGATTTGACATTGACCACTGTCATTTTGTTAAATAATGATACCACTTATAACAGTGTAGTGATGAACAATAAGTGAATCAGTTTCAGGAAGGCATTAAAAAAATTACGGCTACCGAATAGTCCAAATGGTGTCCGTTACCCAGGCCAGATGTTGTCGACAATGGTCATTTGAATCTTATAGATAATTAGTTGTGCGGCTTCTGTAATTGTTGCGCACATTTTTAAATTTGTTGCGCTTATAGTTTTTTAATTATTTCACAAAAACATTTCCTGCTAGCGTAACGTTACCACAGCCAGACCTTTTTATTTCTAATGGGAATATTTAAATAAATATTAGCTATAAAATTAGTTGTCTAGATAAAGTAAATGTTGTGCCTTATTTTGTATTTGTTCTTTCTTCGGTTGCGAAGTTATTCGAGATTTTGCTGCGGTAACGTTTTTGGTTTTGCTAGATCTTTGAAATGGTTAAGCGGATTCTTATCATATTTTGTACACGACTTTCGAGGACTTAGTTTAAATTTGTTGTGCAATAACAAAACCAAAATAATGCATATTTTAAAGGTGTTTTCATTAAATAGAAAAACACTTCAATTGGCCCCAGCACTCTCAATAAGAAGTCTAAAGACTTACTTTAAACGTAATTTTAAAGCTTGTAACTGCCTTCAAATGTATGTGAAGTTTCATTAGTATCCCGTAAGTATTTAACAAGTTATGATGATATTCAGTTCTTCACGAGCACAGCCTTAATGCACGCGGTGTTATTTGGCCACTGGATTGGATATATGAACTGAATGTTATGTCAATAATTAGTTGTTTAGATCAGTTGGATATCAGTAAAATTTCAGCTCAATACATTGGATAATTAATGAGATAATACTATGAAAGTCATTAGGAAGTGAATGACCGTGGTAAGCCGACCAAGTTTAGGTGGTTACGAAAAAGCGAAAACGCAGAACATTGTACTATCTTTTGAAATGTTTAGTATAATACACCTTACAATTTTGGTACAGACGCGTACACTGTTTAATACCTATATAATAATAATATAAAAGAAAACATTATCTTCCATTTCCACAAAATTATCAAAAATCACCGCTAGAGCATGCCGTTCGGTAGGACGCAGGAGGAGTGGGGTGAAGGGGTAATACATTGTTTGCATAACGCACTCAGTCTTGCCAGAAGGTTACTTTTGTAACCTTTTAGATGATTTTTGAACTGCATTTTGAAATAGAAATGACAAGGACGGGTGATGTTTAATCGGTTGCTAAGCAACACAAGTTTTTTTAAGTAAGGAAGTAAAAGTTCAATGGAAATGATTATTTTACCTTTCAATAAAAAATCTTGAATAATCATGTAGTTTTTTTTTAAACTTTTGTACATGTCTGTACTAAATTTATAACACTATCCTACATATTTTAGAAGGTACTGTTGAATGTTCTGCGTTTTCGCTTTTTCGTAACCACCTAAACTTGGTCGGCTTACCACGGTCATTCACTTCCTAATGACTTTCATAGTATTATCTCATTAATTATCCAATGTATTGAGCTGAAATTTTACTGATATCCAACTGATCTAAACAACTAATTATTGACATAACATTCAGTTCATATATCCAATCCAGTGGCCAAATAACACCGCGTGCATTAAGGCCGTGCTCGTGAAGAACTGAATATCATCATAACTTGTTAAATACTTACGGGATACTAATGAAACTTCACATACATTTGAAGGCAGTTACAAGCTTTAAAATTACGTTTAAAGTAAGTCTTTAGACTTCTTATTGAGAGTGCTGGGGCCAATTGAAGTGTTTTTCTATTTAATGAAAAAACCTTTAAAATATGCATTATTTTGGTTTTGTTATTGCGCAACAAATTTAAACTAAGTCCTCGGAAGTCGTGTACAAAATATGATAAGAATCCGCTTAACCATTTCAAAGATCTAGCAAAACCAAAACCGTTACCGCAGCAAAATCTCGAATAACTTCGCAACCGAAGAAAGAACAAATACAAAATAAGGCACAACATTTACTTTATCTAGACAACTAATTTTATAGCTAATATTTATTTAAATATTCCCATTAGAAATAAAAAGGTCTGGCTGTGGTAACGTTACGCCAGCAGGAAATGTTTTTGTGAAATAATTAAAAAACTATAAGCGCAACAAATTTAAAAATGTGCGCAACAATTACAGAAGCCGCACAACTAATTATCTATAAGATTCAAATGACCATTGTCGACAACATCTGGCCTGGGTAACGGACACGTCCAAATGCGTATCCCATGTCAAAAAAGAGGAAAAATGAGTACCTAAGCTAGAGATAGGTAATTGACAATAAATATCACAGACAATTCATAATAAATGTTACAGAAAGTAACAGCGATAGCGATGACGGCGACAATTTATAAAATGTCTGTTATTTGTCATGTTCCTTCATGATCACATTTTTTATTAATTTCACACACAATCACAAAAGAAAAGTCTCAGATCGTTAATTAATCGTCAAAACTAAATTATCGGTTCAGAAATATTTTATTTCCTGATAAACTTAGTTTACGAGAGTAAATTTATAAACGAGAGGAATCGCTTCAGAAATATTCGATTTCCATATCGAATAATTTCGCAACGTCACTATTTATTACGTGTCATAACGTTGCAACACTGAAATTGTGAAATCTGGAATGGAATTAAAATTCCCGAGTATAGTAGTCGTTTAGGGCGGTCGACAGCAGTCTTACTAGGTTTCTGTTTTCACAATGCGTACGGAACCCTAACGAGTTCTGCTTACCTCTTTTTTTTTGAGGAAATCATCACAAATTTAAGTGTGGGAGAGGCATGCTTCGGCACGAATGGGTCGGCTCGAACGGAGTGATACCACGGTCTCACAGAAGACCGGCGAGAAACAACCACAGCGTTGTGTTTCGCTGTGTGAGTGAGGTTACCGGATGCCCAATCCTTCCCCGCCCCCAATCCCTCCTCAATCCCTAAATCTCCAAATCCCTAATCCCTAAAAGGTCGGCAACGCACTCGTAACTCCTCCTTTGCGGGTGTCCATGGGCTGCGCTGATTGCTTACCATCAGGTAATCCGTCTGCTCGTTTGCCGACCAATTACATAAAAAAAAAAATCACAAGGACTTCTCCCGAGTCGGGAGGGAGGGAGTGTTAGAAAGCTTGTATTGGTACCTTAGATGCAGCAAATACAAAGTACCCTTCATCATTCGCGTAATCGGTCTTAATATAATAGGATGAGTAGGGTACTCTATAGTTGCTGGCTAGGGAGAAGGCACTGCTGTCGTTTCGTGTGACGCAGGTGCTTCGGGAAGTTCCCGTATACGGGAAACTGACTTCTCCCGCTTCTCCCTGGCCGGGATTGATGATTTTTCCCTCAAAAAAAGAAAAAGGCGATCGGTACCATCTCTGGCTATTGTGAAAAGGAAACGGGGTGGCACACGCTAGTGGTGTTCACCGCGTGACGATTTTCAGAGATAGAAATAGATCTGCTGACTTGTTCAAAAATAGATCTGCAGTGCGGACAATATGGAACGCAGTGGTGTCCTTCTATGATGATGTATCACAAAATTAGGGTGTGGAAGAAAAAGATCACGAATCCCCTTCCCATCCACAGCAGACGCACCGAAGAGCAAAAGCTGATGTCTTCCGACGGGCTTGGAAGCCATAAAAAGATGAGCGGGCTCCATGATGATTTTCCGCCTTGGGGCAAAAATGGCAGGTGATAACAACTTCACAAAGTGGGCTTGCGTAGTGTGTGCACGTGCAACCAAAGGGTATTGCAACTTGTGGCCTTAATTGTCATAACGCAAGAAGATAATTAACTTGGTACAAAAGTGAGGATAAAAAAATAAGAACAATATTTCAATTAAAATTTACTTTTAATATATCTATGTCCTTAAAAGTAAATAACAATAAAACGTTTATTAGCGTAAAAAACGATTAGGTACCCAAATATAATAATATAGTAAGTAACTAGAATTTTATAAGCTTGATTACTAAATGTTTGATAGAATGAAAGGAAATATAAAGTTAGAAAAATATTATTTTGATGTGTAGTTGATGAGAGTAATAAAACAAAAAGATCCGAACTTACTTCTAAATAAATATAAACAATGTTTATACCTAAGCTTTATTTACAATTTTGAGACCAGTTACACCATGTTATTTTAACACAAGATGCCTTTGACTGAGATAAATAAAACATATTGACAAGTGCACTAAATTAATATAGTTAAGCCAATATATTTGCAATCACAGCTTTTTAAAATTAAGAGATTATGTTTGGAATGCAAGATTACCTGAGTAAAATTGCTTGTACAGTTTTTTAGATACAAGTCTGGACGGTCCAACCAATCAAAGAACTTAAATCGTTTAGGTCTCCATTTATTTAGTTTCGTTTGTGCAATGTATGAAGATGAAACATTAAATGAATTAAGTATCAGATTCTGTATTTCACAATTACAAATTCATACTTACCTCCTTCAGCTGTATTTACATTAAAAAAATCAATTTTGAATAACATACTCCTTATGCACACGATAAAAACGAATTAGTTTCCGTGACACTTTTGGTATGAAGTATTTTATGATTAACATTTAAACTTGTATAGAATAATAATATATTTAATATTGCAGACAATTTCGTGTACATTCACAAATTATATAATTTTTCTAGTTGTTTATTTATTATACTATGTTTATTTAACATTTTTATATACATGACTGTTTTGCTAAGCCAATTATAATATTCAACTAAAATATAAGCGCTTGGTATTGATAAATTTTAAACGATAATACAGCGATATGACCTTCCATATATGGAGCTCTAAAACAGCTGTAGCGAGTAGCATAGTGGCGCCCCTTTAACTTACAAACTGTATTCCTCTACAATACAAAATGTTTGATACAAAGGCAGGGAGCCCTTCGTTTCTATTTCTACGATAAATGCTTATCGTGAATTCAAACACGTAACGAGTAGACCGAATAATTAAAATGCTCTTTTATTCTCCAACTTACACTAATGTCGTCATCTTATATTTAAAAATAAATAGACTGCGAGAAAATAGTTTTTATTGTCCATGGACAATTGGCCGCGATGCTACTCACATACGCTTAAACCCAAACGCTACGAACGTAGTAGAAAAGGCGGCATATGTATAATTTACAAATGTTAGACAAGTGGGGCACGTGTCGCGGTTGCTAGTACCGAGTAATACCGAGCAGTGCCTAGTTTTCGGGCACGGGGTGCGCGGGCCGCCGGTCGAAGTGGAATGTGTCGGACAGGTAGAGCCCGAAGATGGCGACACTGTAGAACACTGTCAGACCAAACAACGCCAGGCTCGCACTCGCCGTAAACAAGTTTGAATATTCGCACCTGAAAGTAGTGGTGTGTCAGAGTTTAGTCATGTTGAGAGGACCAAAAACTTCACCATTATTTCAGACTTTATTTATTGGAGAAGTGTTAATTGCGGCGGTTTATGGAACGCTGGATTGGAGATAACTTGTTTGTTGACGTCTTTGCAGACAATCATGATAACATTTTTTGCCTTGCATTTTTCCGCACTTAATTATTTGGTTGTCGAGTTGGTTTTTTTGCTTGACATAGAAAAAAAATTGATTCCTTACAGATGTTGTTTTCAGAACGGATATTATGTACAAAATGCGTGAATACGGCTTACCTGAAGAACCAGACAACGGTTAATGCAACAGAGACAAGCGTCATCAAAATATTCTCTAGGTCCCAGGCTCGCTCAGGCTGCGGCCTGTCTGTGATCAACTCGTGGGTCGCGTTCACTGGACTCTCATCAGACATACCATGTGGCTGAAATGAAAAAATCCAATCAATCGTTAAAAGATTTTTTATAGTGTGCGAAAGAAAACAAAATTGGGCAGCAGATCTTTAAAATTACAATAACATTTATTGCAGTCATAAGAATGTCCAATACAGCCTTAACCTGTTGGGTACCGAACTTTGACCTAAGTAAGCCAATTTTTTCCCTATTATCGTATTCATATTTATTTTGTCTCTCATATGGACAAACAAGTGAGGTGAATAGTGCTCAAACCTAATCCATGTAAGAAGAGACCTTCATTCAGCAGTGGACATTTGTGTGCGTGTGTGATTCAATACTGACTGTCAAAATGTTAATTTAATGATTTAAAATGTGGATTTAAAGAGCATAGGCATATTATATTATTTGACGTCGCATTCTATAGCTTAATAAATACTATTTATAGTTCAACCAGGGATAGTCTGTAAAAGATAGATTGTGTCCTAAAAGTACTGATATGAATAAAATCCTACTAAGCGAAAGCCGGCAACACTAATCTTACGCCATTTTAAGGCGCGCACCACCTCTCTAGGTCGGGGCTGTCAGAGAAAAAAAAACTGTTCGAGCGCTTTTGTACTGTAAAGCCGATTTCTTAAATTATGTTTTTTTTTTTAATTACTATCATTGTTTTCATGTTATAAGTACCCATTAAAATGTGATCTACAATAAATAAACAAAAATAATAGCTATAACACTAACCTGATTAGCAGCCCGTTTAGGATGTACTAGACAGTGAACCACGGCCCGGTCATGTAGCCCACAGGCTCGCAGCGTGGCCGCATCGTCCAATAGTACGCGTCCGTTGAAGATCAAACGCACGCGACATTCAGCTGTCAGTTCCGTGGAGAAATGTCGCCTGGAATATCAATAGTATTTAATTCGAGACACAATAGTAAGACAACAGGTGCGACAGGTGTTCGCTTGGGTTTTGATGGATTAATAGCAGTTATATAGTATATTTTCAGTAAGGAATTAACATTCTAAAGTTCATTCTCTACGACTTAATTAACATAACATAGGTTGATCATGATATTAAGATCAAGTGATGTGGGTAATGATATCACTATTAATTGTCATTAATCAAAACAAATAAAAGATAAAGCCAAAAAATTCTTACCATTTAAAATCCTTCAATAACTCATCAAGACATCCGTCCACCTCTTTCAAAGTATCGTTCAAATATTTCAATTTGATCAATATTCTTTCTCTATCCGTCCTTTGGTTACTTGCGTCGTCGCCACCGCCCTCTGTCGGTTGTACGTTATCCGTCACAGTTCCTGATTGTTTCTCTACATTAGCTGTGGATGGTGTGTTTTCTTTATTGTCCTCTTTTTTCACTGCTGTCGGGATTACTGTTGAGGGATTTGATTCTGAAAGAGGAAATAAATTTTATCGTAACGTTCTCTGTGTTAACTAAAATCATATATCCCCAATCCCTTTGTGTTCCTGGACGGCGCCGAGTGCTTACAATGAAAACAATCTACAAGCTCGTTTCCTGTTCTATCCCAGAAAAACAAGAACGAAGAACTACCTACATGCGATAAATATACACAGCACCGTTTTTTTTATTTTTAATGCTGATTTAAAAATAATATTTTTAATTGTGACTAAAGTCAAAATAATTTTTGTTTATTTTTTTCAAAAGTACTTGATTTTATAAACTAATAAGAAATCACACACGATCGGAGTGCGCGAGCGAACTTCCATTTCTTGCCCAACAATTACAAATTATGTTTATTATTTTTTTTTGTTTGACGTTCAAAAGTGGCTTCGCTGGTCTATTTGAAATAAATGATTTGTCTTTGACATTACAACTAACAAAGTAACCAAGATGGTTGCAATAACGGAGTGTTGCGCTCACAGCTTTAAGCCAGCTTACTTACTATCAATGTATCAAGTGATCCGTGTGCCTTTTTAAGTCCTATGTTCATAATTAATTCGCATTAGCCTTACCACTGGCCCGTGTGAAGAAGTCACAGCCGGCAGTGACGTCAGCTTCCATAGCGCTGACGATGCTGTCCATCTCTCTGATCTGAGCGTTGCTGGCCGGCTCCACTTCCTCGTGCGCTTCGCCCTCGTCACTAGTCGACTCTGATGCACTCAGCGTGTTGTTAGCAGCTGAAAAATACGAAAAAGAAAACATTTGAAATCATTCTAAAATAAAATAATATCTATCTATGTGAATAAAAATGTATATGAGCATAACATCCCGAACCACTCGGCCAAATTGGATAATTATTTTGTCGTATGGGGTATTACTAGGACAAGGTTGGTATAGTTGAAAAATGAGATTAATTTCATCATCATCATCATCATCATCAGCCTATAAGTGCCCACTGCTGAGCAAAGGCCTCTTCTCATACGGAGAAGGATAGAGCATTAATCACCTCGCTTGCTCAATGCGGGTTGGCGATTTCAAACTTATAATTAGAAATTATAAGTCCAGGTTTCCTCACGATGTTTACCTTCACCGTATGTCATTGTGTCTTGATAATCATAGAAAGTACATATAACTCGGAAAAAGTCACATTGGTACTTGCCAGGCTTCGAACCCACACCCTCATGTATGAGAAGCGAGCTCCTTAACCTCCGGGCCACCACGACGAGATTAATTTACTGGATCATATAGAAAAAGTTTCCTTGTGAAGCTGCTAGATTGCTATAAAATTGTTCCCTTATGAAGTTCAATCAACAATATTTTGCAAATAAATTAATGAAATTGTTATCTATAATTACAATACTGATAAATAAACAATTGAATCATTTGATGGTGGGTCTCATAAATTAATATAAAATCAGTAATCTATTTAATAATTGCTAAAAACTGTAAATAAATATAATAAATGCGTTTTATGGCACCTACCATTTTTATTTGAAGCTAGTCTTTTATACTCTCTAATGAACCTCAAGGAAACCTACACTAACAGTGTCATTTTAAATTTATTATCATAATTTTCATCTACGGATAGACATAAACCTCGCACTTTTTTTAACTACAAAACACCTCCTTACATATGTAAGAAAAACCTTGGAACTAGCTAAACTAGAATTCTGTCTTCCTGTTACATACCACTTAGGTACAGGAAATAAACTGCTCGGGCATTAAACGGCTTAAGAAATAACATGCTTGTAAACTACACAAAACAAAAAAATAATGCTAGGTAGGTAAAAAAATAATTTGAATATAACTTTTTATAAATATTATTCATACATTACATTTTGTCACCAATAGTAATAATTTAAAGAGGAAAGTTTGTATGTATACATTTTTGCATTACTTAAATAAGCTCTGAAATTGCTAAACCAATTTTGAAAATTATTTTATTTCAATTATTCTGTTCTTACTTATATTTTATCTCATTCATGTAATTTTTTAAACGATAAAAGACATTTAAAAAAATGACTATAACATTATATTATGGATATTTCACTATAGTTTTGTGCATGTTTTTAACCTCTTCCCTGTCCGATGAATCACGTAATATGACTCTTAGCTATTGTGCATATTTTGTGGATAGTAAAATTGTTAATATTGTATCATAAGAAAGCTTATTTTTTAGAGAATAACATGAAATAAAATATGTACCTACGACCTAAACGCCTGGAACCCCATTAAGATAAATCAATGAAATTCCATACGAGCGGAGTCGCGGGAGATTGGTAGTTAAATATAAGCCGGTAAACGACTTAAGCAGATAAAAAATAATAAATTTTCTGTACTAATTATAAGGAATGCGTATAAAAACCTAACAAGGTGAGTTTTGCACGGTCATTTAAAACTATTGTAGGTAAGGTGTAGGTGGTGTTGAGTGAGTGAGTTGATGTTTTTTCAAGATTTTCCTTGTTATGTGTAGGTTTACCTCTTATACAATATATCTATAAACATACGTATGAGTAATTAAGAACAAATTGTCGCGACTATAATTCAAAAGATGGTGAATTTGAAAAAAAATATATGGGGAATTGATATTAACAAAATTAGAATATTTAAAAGGACTTTCTGCATAATATCTTTTGGCTTAGTTACATACATCAACTAACAAGCAAAATAACACTGTGGCTATGAAAAGTCAGCATTTTATGTGCCTTACTTTCATAAACATGGATAAAATACCATCCTCATTTTGGAGCAGTTTACACAAAATTGAGATAACATGTATTCAGGACATTTTGACTATGTATGTTGATGCATTATCAACCTTATTTTACAAGTGTATAAGGATTAAAACCGAATAACTACTTCAGACAATCCATAGCCAATATCCGCCTTCTGTGTATTACTGTTATACATATAGCATGCAGTTCAATAAGATTTGCTAAATGTTGGTTGGTTATTGTAGTTTAAAAGGTTCAGAGTTATCAGCGAGAGGTTCTATCCAGGTCCAGATGGCATTCCCTTAGTTACCACTAAGGAAACCCGCAGAAAGATCTAAACATTATATTTTTCAAAAGTAGGTATATAAAACCAACTCACAATCGACTCTTCTGTAGAAATGCAGTCTGTTGTTGTCCAACATGGCCATATCTGCGTCCACTATGCTGTCCATCTCTTGGAGAGGGATCACACGCGCGTTGTTTTCCTCAGTCGCTTCCGTAGTACTCGGATCTATTGAAAAATGTATCACATCATTAGTCAATGTGGTTATATCCTGTTTGGGCAATAAAAACCCACTGCTGAGCAAAGGAGAAGATTTGAACATTAGGCCTAGGTCCATTACGATGTCTTTCTTCAATTCAGACATATAGTGAGATGCGGTTTAATCAGGATTTATACTCGTACTTTGGCTTTTTTTCGGTTCTCAATTGATTTCACACATTTTGGAATTATTACATATATATATTCGATATACTTATAAATACTTCTAAGTACTATATTTTTGCAAATGCATGACTAAAAGTTTTCGAGACGACCCAAAATAAACGATACAATGACATGCCTCTTAACAAAGATTATAATAGACCGTTTGCCATTTTAATAGGTTTTTGTCGTTAACAGTCTGTAAAACAAGCTGGACTTTGGACCTATTAAACATAAAATGGTTTGATAGAATCTCTGCACCTGACAGACAGGTTGGAAATCATAGTATGAAAGGTTCAAGTAACCGGCTCATTCAAAACCCACAGAAAGAGAAGGGTGGGCAACGAATACATTCTACTCAGTGGTAACCAGACGGCTTAATTTTTATTTAAACCATGCAATTTTTCATTGAACGTCAGGTCATTTTAAATAAAGCTGACCTTACAAGGGCAATGTCGGTTTCCTCGACGAATTACCTTGTAAGCAACCTTTTAATTACAAGTCTTGTGTACTTACACGCTTACGTTGTAGTTTAAAAAATCGGGTCCGTTTTACTTGAAAACTGTGTAACCTTGTTGGTTAACACCAAGTTTAGAATTTAATAAACTAACAAATTAGTCTTTTAAATTTTTTCGTGTTTGTTTGTTTGAACGTGCTTATTTCCGGAAATACTGGTTCGAATTGAACAATTATATATTTTTGTGTTTGTTATTCCAGAACAATTCTTTCGAATTTGTTATCTAGGGAGGCTACAGGGTATATACAGGCGTCACACGTATCTGTAAGAGCCAAGCAGCTGATAAAACCACGCGAGAGTGGCTAGTTTCGTAAAAGAACTAGTAGCTTGAAGAGTTCTTCTATGACAATCAATTGTAATTATACAATTAACGCAACACATAATGGCAGTTGAGAACATGTTTTGAAGCGATTTCACTCCAAGATGTAACTTATATTTTGTTCGTTTGTTTCTTTTTATATGTATAATCTATTTACTACTAATATATAATAATAAAGATGAGGATAGGGGAAATTCCGAGGCTTAAAGGATAGTGATAAAGTTTTCGCCTCCGGTAGCTTCACCCACACATCTATTTCTTAGTCATTCCAACTTAATGGCATAACAAACACGAATTACAATGCGCAAACGCATTACCTACATACACGTCATCCTCAGTCATTGTATTATGAGATTGGTTGTCATTCCATCATCTACATACACTACGCCATGTCTGTTACTCCCCGAGGGAACAAGTGGAGATGTGAGTTATATGTAGCATCGTAATAATTTTATTTATAAAAAAAAAATCATAAGAATGATATGAATGGCAGAGTGTCCGCAGAGTAGTTGTCGGAGGAGACCTCTCGCTGGCCTGGACTAAGTCCGGGCCAAGGTGCGGAGTGAGAGGAACTGCGAAGTCGTTTCCACTTTCTGTGAAGCAGCTATGCTCACAAAGAAAGTGGCGGATCGCGTTAGTTAACCTCCTCCTCGCGCCTCAGCCGCTGCAGTAGGCAACACTGGGCGTCAGGGATCGAGAGATGATCTCCGGCCACCGTAAGTGCGGGTCTGCGGTCGGCGTAAGGGTAGCTCGTCATCCGATCAAAGCCAGACATGCCATTTGCCCTTTGAAGTAAATCTTAAAATGAAAGCCGGGGTAACAAACTACAGACCTCTTGTGGAGTACTCCTTGAGTAAGAGGAGCCATCGAGGGAAGAGGGGAAGGTCGGAATCGAGATTTATAGACAAACTTAGTATTTAACATTCATCCTTCTTGAACTTTCTCTCTGTGTTTTTAGGTTACGCTCAAAATCTGACATTATTACTGAAACGCAGCAAAAAAAAAACTAGTAATTATAGTATTAATAAAATTGTTAATTAATACCTACATTGAGATATCATTTACCTTGATCCGTTTAGTCATCAAAGACATGACTAACACAGCAACAATAATTTATTAATGAGGCCTTGAGAGTGAGACTAGTTTTTTGCTACTTTCTGCATTTTAAAATAGATGAGGAAAGCGAGTTTTTATTTCAAATTACATTGACAACATTTGTTGATATAGGTATTATTTTTGAGCACCAAAAAAAAATGTTGGTGCTCATATTCAAAAATCGCTAAAACCAATGGATTAAGACAGAAGACACCGATTATAACGAAGCCTAGAAGTGACAATTATGGTAAAAAATTTGGTACATTTATTCCTTATTGATTCATATGACACCCAGGATAACAGAGGAATTACTGAGTGCATTGCCGACCCCTTAGGGATTGGGGTTAAAGAGGTTTACACAGCGAAACACGACACTGTGGTTTTTTCATGCCGGTTTTCCGTAAGTTCTGTAGTATCACACCGGTCAAGCAGACCCATTTGTGCCGAAGCATTGCTCTCCTACACTATCTTCTTGTTTTGCAGGATTTTTTCTAATTCTATTTTACGGTTTTATTTTGTATCTAACGCATATACTTATGTAGAAATATAACACTATGACAAACTCACTTGCGGTATCTGATGTGGATGCTTGTATAGACGTGGACGTCGGTGCTGCTGTTATCATTAAATTTGATCCTGCAAATAACACATATATTTTGTTGAAAAAGTATGTTAGAAATGGCGTATAGACTCGACTTTTACAACGACAAAATTCACTCGCAATATCATTATATTTTTATCGTATTGCAATCTTTTTGGTATGTATTTTAAATCTTTTATGGAAATTTATTTTATTAAAATTAAAATTATTTTAAAGCTTTAGCGAGTGCAGTCGTGAATGTTAAGCCTTCCAAAATAGTGCGAGAGTTGTTTTCAAATTGACGAAGACATTTGCCAAGTTAGTGGATCGGGTGCAAGTGTGAATTCCGAGCCTTGACTTAGGTTTCATAGGGGAGGGGCAGGACATTCTTGCATTTTGATTTTAATTTCTTTTGAGGCAAATCTTAAGAAGTATTGTTAGCAAAAAGTGAATAATGTTAAACTATTAGCCAGGAGGAGTAAAACTAAAAAGGCGTTTTGTTATACTAATGCACACATTAATCAAAATGGCCTATCAGAATCTCATAGAACTAGTAAACTCGTAGTTGTTTCGTAATAATTGAGAGACGAGTTCGCAAAAACTGGTTTTGTCGCTAACCCTTGAACTGGAAACTAAGGATATTAATTAATATCATATAACCTCAAGCACAAAACCTGTTTTACTAAAGATTGTTGAATAAAAAAGATACATATAAAGTGATATCAATACATCATCCAAGACTTGAAGACAATAAATCAATAAGTGTGCTCGATCTAAGTTTATTTGCTACAAGCAATTCTACTGAAACTGCTCTGAATAGAATTAAAATTTAATTCCTGTCACAGCACCACATTTTTATTTAATACGTATGTATAGGACGATTGACAAGTCTTAGAACCTTTGTCACTGATTCCTTAACGTGAAGCATAAACTTGATACTCACTTGTCCGAATACTAACTGTGACCGGATGAAGTGTTCTGGAGCGCATAACAAGCACAGTTCGGTATCGATCTGGCCGAGCGTTGGTAGACCACCAGGCCAGGGCTGCTACAATGATGACTAGTACCACAGCTACAAACTGTATAACTTCATCACCAACACCGTCTATCATCGTCATCCTGGCCCACACCTGGAAGAAATTAATATAATATACTGTACTGTATGCCTATGTTTTTTGAAATACCACAATGCTATTTAATGTCTTACTATTTTGTATGCAAGGTGATAATCAAAATCTATTGGTTCACAAGTGATGCCATGACCAAGAAAAATAGGCATTAATTTTAATACACATTATACATGTATGCTGTAATAAGCATAAGTCTTTGGTTGTTTTTATTACTAGTATATTGTTTATATCATGTAATGTTTATAAAAATGTAATATGCTGTTGGTATCCAATAAATAAATAATTATACAGGTAAGTTATAAGTATTTAGTAATGTGTGCCAATATTTTCAAATTAAGTGTATATACCTATGTTTATTTTTAAAATAAATAGGTATTAATTAAGTAAAGGAAAACAACAAATGCAATTATTGACGAAGAATAAATTAGTGGAAGTTTTAGTTTATTTGTCACCAAATGGTAACCTGGCATACAATTGGGTAGTTTCCTAGGTCAAATATAAATTAATTCGATGTTTCAATACAATATTGAAAAATAACTATACGTTTATTTATTGATCAAATTGATACACTAAGTTTTAGATATTTTATAGCTAATTAAGAAATAAGTAAGCTATTTGACGCAAAAATTTTATGACAACATGACAAACCCTCTGCATACAAATTTCATAAAAAAGTATCGTTTTTGACATTTGGATAAAAGTATTGAATTTGACTTGATCCTTGGCTTAACGTTTAGTTTTAATGAATAATATGCCATCTGGCATCACAGATACTGGGCTTATTAACATTTATGTTTTTAGTAAAAAATCAAGATAAGTTTATTATCTGCGCCACTATTTGAAATAAATAATGTACACGCATGAACTTCAAGATTAGTAATCCAATTTTGGACAGTATAAAATTTTTGAAATGCTATGAAACCAACTCATTACATTACAGTGTTTTTCATATTTATTAATAGCTTTATAATTATGTGAAATGTACTAATTGAAACTTTTAATAAAATAAAGAAATAAAATATTTGAGCATCATGTAAATAATAAAAGTAGGTTTAGTGAAAAGTTATTCTAGTTTTATCAAATGTTAATTTTATGTCCATTGCAATTTAATTTGTCAAAGAATTTTGATCTCTTATAAATTGATTAGTTTTCTAATCACCAGGATTTATTTTTAGCTAATATTATTTTACAAAGGGGTCAACAACATTATCACATTATGACATTCTCAAAAGACTATAATAATAGATGTCATTTCAAAGTACCTATTTATAGTTTAGTTGGAATAAATGATTTTGATTCAGATTATGATGTGTATTGTAAATGTAAAACATCATTTTTGCAGAGTACCCACATCCAATGTCATAAAGCATTCTGTGTGTGGACAGCTGGACATAGTAGCTCTATGTGCCATATAAGTTTTTCGGGTAGGTACTTATAAAAATAGTAAAAGAATTATTACTCAATTTTATCCTAAACATGACATGTAAGCAAGAACATAACTGTCAATTATTTGTTAGGTACACATAAAGGTAATTATTTATGTAATGTGGCAACTTAAACTTTTATGTTGAATAAGAAAAAATAGGTAGCTAAGTAATTTCACCTACTCTTAGCATTAAATTAGTTGAAGCATGCAGTTTATTATTACTGTCTTTTATGTGTATGTTCTATTCATTCCAGTTAAATAAACCAATAATAAATACATGTGTAATATTTTTTCTAACTAAAGTGTATTTTGTTTTTCGATCTGCTTGTTATTGTGATTTCTACGTTACTGGCTGGGACTTGTGCACTAATCGAATCACTACATTATATTCAAACTTAATATACTTATTATTGTGTATTATATTATTATATACCAATAAATAAATGATTATTGGAATAATATTATTAAAGCTGGCAGGATATGAAATTCTTATGTACAATAATTGTTATGGTTCAGCATTCCTTGCCTGTGTTTAGCAGACTGTGATAGTTTACGTGCCTCAGAATAATGCATAAACAAACTTTCCATTAGCTACCCAACAGTAACCATAGGAGAATATTCCCTAAGTTATTTCTACAGGACATTTTAGGCCGTAACTACTTGTTATCAAATTGAGCATAAGCGCAAACGGATTAATTAGTAATAGGTATATAAATCTACAATATGTTATGTATTAGAGTGCGTCAAGCGATACACGGCCAACTTTTATATACAGAACAACATAATACATGTCTTGCCTTTCTAGATCGGACCAGATTCAAGGTCAGGTGGCTTACAAAAAACAATAGTCTTTACCTTACACTGCTTCGGCTATAATTTCGCACACAGCAAATAGCAGAATTGGCAAATATTTACAATTATTGCGATTCAAAGTCTTCGTGGTAATAAAACATCTCGGAAAAATAGCAAAAGCTACACTGAAACTTGCTGCACAAACCACTAAAAATACTGCATTAAAACTTCACTTGAATCCTTTATCTTCTTCGTAAAAATTGCTTGGGCTGTGATAAAAATCTGTTTCACTTTTTATCCCGACATTTGGACGACTTGCTATCAAAGAAATTGAAGAAAATTTAGCCACACTCCACAGATTAGAAATGAAAATAGCAGTGCTATTAAAAAAAATTTGCCCATGAAATTGACGTAAATAAATAATTGTCTATGGTGGTGGACGAAATGCCACAGATGTATAAAGTGGTAGCTGAACCTTTCTGTGTAGCTAAACAAATCGAAGCTAAAAAAACATTGTAATATTTGTAATTTAATCCAAATTCACATGTAAATTAATTGATTGTAGACGAGAGGAGGAAAAATAAATAAGACTGTTCGATATTCTATCTATATCTATTCAACATTGCTATAATTATCAATTATATCATTTTAGCATTTATTATATTTTTATAGTAAATAATGAAATTAATTATGGATTATTAACTAGAAATTAATGTTTGCTCTGCCAAGACGATTGCTAAACGTAGTGGTTACGTACTCTTTGACGATTGCTACAATAGTTCATGTAACACACCATCGTCATTTTGGAACTCAGCTAATTGAAATTCAATTTCTTAAATCATTTCCAAATTAAATCATTGGACAAAGGTAAAATAAGAACCAATGTAAAATAGGAAGCAGAGTAATAAAAATGTAATTAACTATTGTTCTTGTTACAATTTTTTATAAACTTATACATATTTAATGTTATTTTATACAATAATTTTGCGTACAATACGATAACAATTATTTTTAATATATTTTTGTGTAACAACATGATTATGTATAAAAAATGTTTCACTGATTTTCATTTTAACTCATTTTATAGTCTATGGCAAAAATATTCTCAATTTGGCGGCAAATAAAAATATAGTTGGTTTTGGTTTTGAACGTTTTGAAATACTCGAGTGAAAGTAAAATTTCGTTTTCAAGTTTGTTTATATTAATTTGTGTGTTTATTAACTATTGAGGTGTGTGGTGAGTTTAAAAGTTTCATTATTTGCTTGCTTTGCTTTGATACTTTATTGTGTAATGCTTGCTTGCTATGTACTTAATTTATTATTTTCAAAAATCACAAACGTAATAGTGACTCATCCTTGTAGGGAACTTGTTTATTGTGGTTTATTTTTTTATAAATGATACATCATTCCTTAATGTCTACTTATGCATGCGATGTAGATATTTACAGTCAGTTTAGGTACCTACCAGTCAACATACGACGATACTGATATCAAGCGCAGACACTGCATTATTTATGCAGAAGGGAGTTCCTTCTAAAATCTTCATTCCATTTTCAATTCAATTAACAAGAAACATGTGAGTACAAATTTTACAGAACAGTACCTAGTTGTTTTTTCTAAAATCAGATACCTAATATAAATAATATTGTGCGTTTGATTATTTGTTTCTAAGCTTGTAACAATTATTACTTTGGTAAAGCTATAGGACCTCAATACAAAAACAATAATGTGAAAAATCTAACATAAACACTAGATAGTAGTAATAAGTTGAGATTATTATAATAATATGGAGACACAATTGACATCCTTCTGCTTCCTTTGTAATACAAAATAGTAATATATTTTATTGTACTTTAATATTATATTTAAAGGTATAAAATAAAGGAAGTTCCATTATATTATTTACATACACTAAAGTGTGAAGTACGCATAAGTATAACTCAAGAATAAGGCTCACCTATCCAACAAACATAATTATATGGATGGTTACAACAACTATAGATGGTTGATTTTAAGATTTCATGAAATCAATCAAGTGCTTCTTCATTTATTATGAAGCAAAAAACATACTAAGCCACACGTAATTTGTAAGACTAGATAGGGACATTCCTAGGAATTTATAAAGAGAATTCTTTGTTCTTATAACATTTTATAAATTCAGAGTAGATCATTAATTTTTTAAAATAAAAGCTTTCAGTTTTTCATCGTATTTTGTATGCAAAACTATAAGAGCATACATATCATGAAAGCACTTGTTTTATCAAGTTGCAACTGGTTACCAAAATTCTAGTGTCCAGTTTACTACTCATGTGGTACAATATAAAAGTTATTAAATTAGCTAGTAACTGCAAATAGATTAAGGATACATTTATTTAAATTTATCTATTTTTCAATTAGTAAAATAAAACAGCAGGAAAAAAAGCCTTCATTAAGATTCTAGATTAGCAATCATCATTATACTAAGGTATGAAGGTCTACTTTAACATATTAACATACAATAAATTTCACAAAATAAGTGGTTTATGTTAATATTTTGATTAATTTAAACTTGTAAAAGACTGTACTAGACTATAAAAAAAAATCATGAAAGGTTCGTAAGTCGTAACCCACTTTGCGATCTCGCTTCATATTCAATGAAATTGCATCATTCTATTATGATATCTCTAATTATGGTTGGATGACAAATATTGTAACGCTACGATGTCCAGAAGTTATAATCATACAAGACTATTGTTGTCACATTATTTTCTGTGAGAAAAAATGCATTTTACAAGGAAACTCAATGTAAACAATGTTTTTCGTCATGACAAAGACACATTATAAATAGCACAATGGATCGGACAGAGATAGCAAATCCGACAAAACATAATGACGTCAAAAAACGTGGATCTGCGATCGGTTCACGCAGAACTTTAAACGTGGATGGAACTAAAATGTTTGATACTAGTTACCTTTTGGAAGCACATGAAAATGTATGAGTTTGTTTTTTTATAATAGAACGTCAGATGGTTGCTTTTTATTTAAAAATCGGACCAAAATAACATTTAACAATATTCCAAAACTGTCTTGCTACAGGGCTGGCGCCATGCTAGTGAAACGGAATGTAGTTATTGCGTCAGACAAGTTTGCAGTAGCGGAGATGTCCTGTTGGCGCCAGTTTAATTCATTCCAATTTTAAAACCTCGTACAAGTACACGTATCACGACTCTCAGCAATTTATTATACAGTTACGATAATCGTCTTTTCTATTTCTAGTGTGAAATATCACAGTGAACATTGTTAAAGCTGAGTTGTGATTGCAAAAACATATTTTGCGTATTTTAATATTTGGTCTTTATCTTAAGACCGCCGTCCGTGTATTTTCTTTTGAATAAAATTGATTTAAAGTACTGAGAGCTGTAAGGGCGAAGGAAAAGTATACTTCTAATTAACATGATCAATACGGACTGCCCAAAATCAACTATTCTGTTGAATACAATTCGTTACGGGCAAGTAAATATTTTGAAGAACAAGCAGGCCGCTTTGCGCCGCACACATTATTGTCAGAGAAAATACAAAGTTAAGAAGTTTAGAACAGTGAATAGAAGCCATACAACAACAATGATGTAAGTACTATTGTTTTGTGTTTACTAATTGTGATTTGCGATTCACCCTTAAATATCAAGTTGATAAAACGCTGTTATCAGTCGAAAGCTTAAGTTCTAATCTTATCTAATATCATGTTTTTCTTATCACTGCACATAGGCAAGCCTATTATTTATAGGCCTATTATTGCCTATGGCAATACTTTGATACAACATTAGCGTGGCATCACGTTAAATATTAAGTGGCCGATCTATTTATTATTTATTACTATTATAAAGCTCGAGGAGTCTTTTTGTTTGAACGCGTTAATCTCCAGAACTGCTGGTTCGAATTGAATAATTATATTTGTGTTTGTTAGTACATATATATATCGAGGAAAGCTTTAGGCTATAAAACATCACAGACAGACAGAAGCTGGTTATATTATAAACAACACAATATAAATAATAGTATGTTGATAATATTATTAAGTAGTAAATTAAAACTTAGTTGCAATTATACAAAATCCTTTTTCTTATAACCAAACATATTAGGATACCTAAACGGACAAAGTTCAATGAACGTCTGGCCGTCATTAATTTCAATGACGAGATATATTTTTGATCCTTTCTTGGAACCCACACTAGCATCACAGATACTTTACAATAATATTTGAAGTAGTCTACTATAATGAATGGAAAGTATCTTGTTTGATTTTACTATCCCCCTGTACCCTTGAAAGAGTTTATAAAGTCAACTTCACATCCTCTTAAAGTATTAAAATTGATGAATGACGGCGCAACTTCATTGAATCATTCTCGATGTTTCTACCCAAGTGCACTGGCTACCTAACGTATACTTATAGGTAGGTACACGTGTAGATAAACATGGCAGTATACTGTGAATAGGTACCCACCTATTAGTGCTCATGAAACCTATTGGTTCTCTGTTATCGTTATCACCATCTATGTATTTCGGTGACTAAATGTTATCTTCTATCTGCGCAGTACGCAAAATAAGTTTTTATACATATTTATGTGTGTTTTTGTAATTTTTTCATATGATTTACATGATAGATAAATGTCTACCTATTTTATTGTCCTACACTTTAAGACTCACCGTAGGTACTTACGAACTTTAATTTTTGGTACATATATCACTAATATTACTAGTGTGTGTCAAGCCTAAGAGGAGATGACGCAGATCCCCACATAATCAAGCATTAATTATGTAATACGCAGTTGTGTAGTTTCGTTGTGTAAATGACCTTCCTACCTATATAGTTATGATCAGCTTAATTTGTTTGATTAAGTTGATCTTTAGAACACCTATGTTTACTGAGCGTATTAGAAATACCTAATGTCTTATTGATAACACACCAATTGACTCGAGAAGATTATTTATAGACTAATTTGCAACGTGCAAGTAGGTATATTATAAATAAAAAGATGACTATAATTGTAAATTACTATTCAAATCCATAAAATGCTTTGGCGGTGAAAGCATTCGAGTTGTGAAACCGGGCGTACTAGGTTAACGACGGACACGATCGTAATACAAATACCCAGAATTGAGAATACATTAAGCTTTCAAAAAAGGAAACTGACGAAAATTGGCGGAATGCGTGTATATTAGCGAAATAAGCAAACGTTAGAGTAATTCCTACAGCATTTATTATCTAAAATGGTTTTACTTTATTGTTATCACCTCTATGCTATCATATCACAGCTTACAGACGTAGTTACATGAATCGGAAAATATTAAATTCCATTACATGATGGATGGAATTCAATAGGTATTTATGACATCAGGCATTTTATTATTGGAATTATTGGACTGA